CAAGACCCTATCTCAAAAAAAAGGAAAAAAAAGAAAATACTCATTTTTGTATTGGTCCATTGTTTTTGAGTTTTTATTATTTGTCTACAATTTAGACTGAATCCTGAGTTCCTTCCTGGCTACAAGTCTCCAAACTAACATTTTCAAATTTTTCTTCCATTTCTTCTGACTTCGAATCACTAGAAATTAAAACTGTGCTTTTCTTAAAGCCCGGAAAACAGAAGCTAAACAACTTAAATGAACTTCGGGAGAACGCACACTAACTTACATATAAACAGCCTTCACGTCTGCTGCTGTATAGACTACTCAAAAAGTTCACTTAAACACCTGATTCAAACTACAATCCAGAAACATCTGTCAGATTGCCACTGTAATCTGAAGATACTTCAGAGGCTCTAAAAATCTAGTCTATAGACTACTCCAGACATCAACCTTTGTTTTTCTTATGTTTCCACAGAAATGCCTCTGGTTAAAAATCTGTTTGCCTACATCATATAGAGAGGCCTCACCCATCTGCAATGCCACCACCTGGACTGGGACACAGCTGTTGAACTGAACAAATCTATTTTCAGGAGTAAGAGACTGATTCAAGAAGATATGAGATGACATACTTAAATTTGCTCTTTTTTGCTTATCTCAAGTTGTTTTCCCTTTCCTTTGTCTATCTCTAACAACCTCTAACCCAAATCTCTCCAAAGCTATCAACTTGGTTGTCATATGGAAAACTTTTTAAAGTTTCGAAGTGGGAACCGGAGGAAATCTAAATATTTTACTCCAAAATATATTTCTTTGACATATTTTGAGATGACTGTCAGAAAGCCAGCAAACAGACGCGGCCCTGAAAAGCTGTCTTTGTGAGGGAAATTTGCATCTGTAGAGAATCTGCATTGATGCAGGCAGGCCTTCTCTTGTGGGTATCTAGGAAAGATTAACTGAGAGTCTGACACCTTAAAGATCTGAAAGAAACATTTACTCTCTATTTTCTCTGAGGGCTGCTACCGGTGAGGTTTCATCACATAAAAAGACTACCTTTGCTAGCTAAGGCTTCCTCTTTTCTCCCTTCCATAACCTGCCTTGCCACTGATTTATCACCATTACTTGTTTTCGGGTATGCACTGAGCCTCCATTCTTTATGTAACCTCAATATATTAATAGTATATAAGCTTCTGTACTCCAATGTGGGGTGGGGAGGGGGGACATTGGGTAATCACTGTGTGATGCTCCCTGTGTACAGATTAATAATTGTATGCCTTTTCTCTTATTTATTTACTTATTACTAGAGATGGATCACACTCTGTTGCTCATGCTGCAGTGCAGTGGCACAGTCAGCTCACTGCAGCCTCAATCTTGCAGCCTTGAAGAATCTAATTGTTTTCTGTAGAAACAGGGTCTCACTATGTGGCCCAGGCTGGTCTCAAACTCCTGGGCTCAAGTGATCTTCCTGCCTCAGCCTCCCAAAGTGGTGGGATTACAGGCATGAGTCATCGTGCCTAATCCCTCTTCTGTTATTAATCTGCCTTTAGTGAGTTGATTTTTCAGTCAACCTTCAGAGGAAGAGAGGAAGGTCTTTACACATGCTTATTAGAAAGCTAGTTGATTCTTTTTCTTTCTTTCTTTCTTTCTTTCTTTTGAGACAGAGTCTCCCTCTGGTGCCAAGGCTGGAGTGCAGTGGCGCAATCTCAGTTCACTGCAACCTCCACCTCCAGGGTTGAAGCAATTCTGCTGCCTCAGCCTCCGAAGTAGCTGAGATTACAGGCACATGCCACCATGCCCGGCTAATTTTTGGTATTTTTAGTAGGGGGTTTTACCATCTTGGCCAGGCTGGTCTTGAACTCCTGACCTCGTGATTCACCCACTTTGGCCTCCCAAAGTGCTGGGATTACAGGCGTGAGCCACTGCGCCAGGCCTAGAAAGCTGGGTGATTCTTAATGAGACCCGTGGGAAACTTTTATTGAGTATCTAGACTATGTTGCTGAAAAATCGTTTGTGTAATAATGGATCAAAGTGATCCTGAAACTCTCTCACAAGGGTTTTTTTTTGAGATGGAGTTTCGCTGTTGTTACCCAGACTGGAGTGCAATGGCACGATCTCGGCTCACCGCAACCTCCGCCTTCTGAGTTCAAGCAATTCTCCTGCCTCAGCCTCCCGAGTAGCTGGGACTACAGGAGCACACCACCACGCCCAGCTAATTTTTGTATTCTTAGTAGAGACGGGGTTTTACCTTGTTGACCAGGATGGCCTCGATCTCTTGATCTCGTGATCCACCCGCCTCGGCCTCAAAATGCTGGAATTACAGGCGTGAGCCACTGCGCCAGGCCTCTCGCAAGGCTTTTTTAGAATTTTTGACATATTTTTGAAATAGGAAGCCTAAAGATACAATTGTTGACTACTGATTAAAATAAAATTAGAAATAGTAATATATTTGGTATTATTCAATATGATGAAAGCCACCGGGTAGAGTTTCAATACTGTTAAAGACAAAACATTCCTTACATATGCTTTAATCCTCTGTATTAGACAAAAGGACCAGAGAAAATATTAGAGAAAAATAAAATACCTTTAAACTAAAAAATCATTATTATTAACCTCCACTTAAAAAGTTAAATGTGTAATTATAGGCTCACTGGAAGAACATAACCAATGTAGTTATGAAAAAACTTTATGGTTATTTTGTGGGTGCCAGCAATGAGGTTTTGAGGATTATCTCAGAGAGGGTTTAGAAGTAGCAGTTGTGAAGTATTTTAGGTTGCATAAAACAGGTTTGTCTCATGTTAACCACTCAGCAATTGCAATGGGCCTGATTTACACAACGATTTCTTAGAAGTTACTCTTCTGAAATGTACTGTGTGATTAACTGACGTGGCTTCAAAAATGGAATGTTGTTTCTACATTTTTGTTCACTTCAACCTAATGCCCCCTAGAACACAGATCCAATTAAGAATCGAGGCGGGGAGGCAGGCCTTGTTTAAGCATAGTTTTTGGTATTACACAGCACTTCTGTATAGGATTGAACACCACCACCTACTTATTGTCTGCAGGCACTAGATTTATTCAGTGTATTCCTGTGACACTGTGAATATGGCTGATGGAACCCCATGAATATGAGTTAAAGCAAATATCTTAGCAAAGAACTACAACCAGATAAATTTAACTTATGGTTAAATTTTTGGTGCTTTTAAAAATAAAAGCCTACCTACATCTAAAATTTAATTTTCACATAGAAATACAAAGGATAATGATCTGTTCTATTAATTATTTATATCTATAGTAAGAATAGAATTTTCCTCTGAAATTAATGTTTCCAACCAAATTGCCATTGGGGAAACGATTCTTATGTTTCAAAAGCATTTAAGTTTCCCATCTTGTTCAGAAGTCATGCACTTTGTCAGTAAAGGCAAGATCTGGAATCAGTAGTCATATACCCAAATTCACGTTATTGATGATAAACAGTCAAACTCGGTAAAATATTTGAAGGAATCTGAGCCAAGTATGAGTGACCAAGGTCCAAAGCAGTCTCAAGAGGTCCTGAAAACATGTGCCCAAGGTGGCTGGGCTACAGCTTGAGTGTATACACTTTAGGGGAACAGAAGTTACAGGCAGACATCAATGAATGTATGTAAGGTATACTTACATACATTGGTTTAGTCTGAAAAGGCAGCACAACTGAAGTTGGGGTTTCCAGGTGTTGGTGGATTGAAATATTTTCAAATTGGCAATTGGTTGAAGGAGTTAAATTATTATCCAAAGACATGGAATCAATAGAAAAGGGTATCTGAGTTAAGATAAGGGGTCCTGGGGACCAAGGTTATTATAATGTAGATGAAGCCTCCAAGTAGCAGGTTTGGAGGGAATAGATGTTAAATGTCTCTTATCAGATCTAAAAAGGTGCCAGACTCTTTAATCTCTCCTGGATCAGAAGGAAACCTGGAAAGGGAAAGAGATTCTCTACAAAATGTAGATTTTCTTCATAAGAGACAGCTTTGTAAGGCCATTTCAAACTATGTCAAAGAAATATATTTTGGGGTAAAATTTTGATCAAGTCCTGCTATCTGTCATGTGATACCACACTGGAGTCAGGTTGGAGTTTCGTATCTTATCACAACAAAAAGTCAGTTTTGCCAGTCTTAGATCTCTTTTTAATGTGAATGTCGGTCAGTTGTGCCTGAATTCCTAAAGAAGGAGAGTATAATGAGGCCTGTCTGACTCTTCCTTCTCACCACAGCCTGAATTAAATTTTCAGATTTACTTTAGAATCTCCTTGGCTGAAAGGAAGGATTGATTCAGTTGGTTGGGGAGCCTGGAATTTTATTTTTTATTTTAGAATGTGAACAGAGCATTTATATTTTGAGAAATTAGGGTTCCTTACCATTAAGACTGCTTTTTCTAAGGTAAGAACCAGTAACAAGATCTCCTTACAACCACATATTCAAATATTATTCAAGGTTTGCCTCACAAATAAATGTCCAAGTCATTCTTCCAGGCCCCACTTCACCTGTGCTTGTCCAGCTTCCCTCCCCATTCTACCCCTCTCCAAGAACATTTCTAGTCTGCTGACTTAGCTGAACATCACACTCTGGGCTGCAAGTTCATCAGGAAGGAAAGAGTTAAGCCCAACTCTCAACTCTTCATAGAGCAGGAGAAAAGAGGCTTCCTATTAGATAAGCCTCCAGTATTGCTACCAGGGCAGAAGCCTAGTAGGTGAGAAAACATGGAACCAAAAGGTACACAGGCTCAACTATAATCATGCCTCTGTCCTGACAATCTGACCTTTGGAAAGTAACTCAGTGACTCTGAGCCAGTTATATATTTACATAGGAAGATACATGAAAAATAAAGATTATTAAAGAGGATTTCTTAAAGTCCCCCTCTAATGAAAAATGCTAATACTATGATGTGGAAAAAACAGCAGTTGAACCAAGGACAGTGGGCTCAGGTTTCCTGGGTTTAAATTTCAGCTATTTCACTTCCAAGAAATATGACTGTGGGTCTCTGATTTCTGATTTTCTTTTCTTTTTTTTTGAGATGGAGTCTCACTTTGTCACCCAGGCTGGAGTGCAGTGGTGTGATCTCAGCTCACTGCAGCCTCTGCCTCAGAGGTTCAAGCGATTCTCCTGCCTCAGCCTCCTAAGTAGCTGGGATTACAGGCTAGTACCACCATGCCCAGCTAATTTTTTGTGTTTTTAGTAGAGACAGGATTTCACCACGTTGGCCAGGCTGGTCTCAAACTCCTGATCTAGTGATCCACCTGCCTCCACCTCCCAAAGTGCTGGGATTACAGGTGTGAGCCACTGCACCTGGCTGACTTCTCATCTCTAACACAGCAATACACCTTATAGCATTGTTATAAAAATTAAATGAGTCAATATTATCTATAAGTACTTAGATTAACAGCTGACATATATTGAGTGCTCAACATGTTTGTTATTGTCATTGTTATTCTAAAAATTTCCAGTGACATACAGGTGTAAGCAGCCACCCAGCATGCTGCCTCTATTTCCCAGTAGACAACATTTTATAAAGTAGCAATCTCTTTGCTTTTTCGAGTTTTCTTATTTCCAGTCCTGTAAACATTCCTTTATAATCTGCAAAGTGTGGTAGAACATGAACCCCAATTCAAGAGTGATCATCTACAAATCCCTTTTTTAAAACATCAAAAAAATAATAATAGTAATAATCAAATGATTATAACATTATTGTTTTGTTTCCAGTACCTTTTGCAGAATCGATTTCCTCATCTTTGTATGACTGAACTTTCTGTGACCATATCGTGTTTGGCCAAAAGAAATATAAAAAGACTGTAGAACTAAAGTGAAATAGTTGAATTCCTCCAATAACTGGAGGTAAGTGGAGCCTTTCAGTAGGATTGGGATAATAAAATTTGTTATTTAAAGAAATGTACTTTTCAATCAGCTATTGACAATTGTTTAAGAAGGCAATATTGTGTAGCAGTATTGCTGAAATGTTATAGAATTAATGCATTATTTTGCCCTTGTCCATGACTGAAGAGGCGAAGATATAAGAAAACTGAAAAATTATAACCCCAAATAATCAATATTTAAGAAGCTATAAAATAGTAAAAATATTTAATGTGAAAAACATCCACCTAATAAAAGGAAAATAAAGCAAGAAACAATCCATCTCCATGGCTTCTCCCTCACCCTTACCTCAGAGCACACGGACACAAAGACACACACACACCCCAGCAAACACACACACACACACACACACACACACACACACACACACACAGATATTAAGAAAGCAGCTTCTTTTATCATGCACATAAGAATAAAATATTTTCCATTCTTTTTTTAGCTTCATGTAAACTCACAAAACACTGCCCTCTAGGGTTTTAGTACTTGTGAAACAAAGCATTGTCCCAGAGTTTATTTGTTTGTTTGTTTGTTTTGAGACAGGGTCTTGCTTTGCCACCTAGGCTGGAGTGCAGTAGTGTGATCTCAGTTCACTGCAACCTATGCCACCCAGGTTCAAGCCATTCTCACACCTCAACCTCCTGAATAGCTGGGACTACAGGTATGTCTCACCATATTTTTGGTGGCTAATTTTTTTGTTTTTTGGTTTTTTTTTGTAGAGACAGGGTTTTGCCATGTTGCTCAGGTTAGTCTTGAACTTCTGGCCTTAAATAATCCACCTGCCTCAGCCTCCAAAAGTGCTGAGATTACAGGCCTGAACCATCATGCCCGGCAGCCTCAGAGTTTATGAAACCGTTGTTAACTATAGATGGCTTAAAGCATAATGGAAATGGAAATGTTCTCATAAAATACGATTAAACATAACCAAAAAAAATATAGTATAACAGCAACAAAACAGAACAGACAGCTGTATACAGGGACCTGAGCCTGGAATCGTTACCATGTCTCCACAGCTTGGAGACTGTTGCTGAGCATCATCAATATGAAGGATCTGACTGACACCCAAGCTAGGATGGAAAACAAAAGAAACTTTGAAAATGTAAAATAGTTTCAAACTGATTTTCATAAGAAAGCTGGAAAGCTCAGTGTGTTTAATCGTTTTTACTTAGCAAAGAATTTATCTTTCATATTCTTATAAAGTGGCTTTCTTCTGTGTTATCAATAAAAACTAACACTGACCTTCCTCTTGGAAGGTTAAACTTCTAGCTTGTGTTTGAAACGCTAGAGTGCCTTTTCTCAGAAGAAATGCCACATATACGTGCCGCAAGCAATGAAAAAGAATACACCATCGCTCCGACCCTTCATTAGTCAGAGGATCTTGGCAACAGCAATGCTACTTGTATACGGTCTCTGCATGAAAAACTGTTTTCAAAGGTAACCTTGCCAAGGGCTATGTTCTGTCTTGGCAAAAGGAAGCAAACTTTACTTTTCTACCAATCGGTTTGCTCTGCATGAGAAACAGGTGTTAAGGTATGAAACGGGGGGTGGGGGGTGGGGGGGGTCTTGGAGCAGTAGCAAAATAAAACTCACCCAAAATAAGTTTCATCTGGAAAAGAAACACAACTCAGATAATAAGCCTGCAGGGCCAACATGTTTTTGCAAAATGCAAATCATGAAAACTGGTTAAGGGATTAAATGCTCTTTTGCAGAAATGACCATGGAGATTATAATCATTAATTAAATTCATGTAAATAATTTTCTGAAAGAACTCTCCCTTTTTATCTCATAGGTTTCAAACAGCCTAATGGTAAAAAGGTTTAGTCTCAGAAGAGATTTTCTAATTAAAACTAGAAATCTGGTATAATTAATAAGTGTCAGCCTGCAATCTCAACCATTTAGTAAAGGCAGAGAAATCAAATGCTGCTGTTTTTTAAAAAAAAAACCTAATAAAATCTCCAAGAAAATGAAATTTTTATAGAGTCTACTTCCATCAATACAATAGGTGTCCCAGATGGGACTAGGAACTTCTTAACGTAGATAAATATTTTAACACTTACAATTCCTATATGCCAGTTTTATTCGTTTCTCTTTTCTCTTTGGAGTTGCAACTTGACCCAAAAGAAAGCTTGCCGTGATTTAATTTGGGTTTACATTTTTGAATTGTCTAAGCTCCTTGATTCTTTCACTTTTTTTCCTCATTATCTTCACTCAGAGGTGAACCAGAGCAAAAAAGACAAGCTGAAAGTCAAACATATCAATTTCAAATTTTGACTTCATAGTCTTGCATAGTTCCTCCTTCCCTTCACTGGATGTCCAACTCTATGACAGCTTTAGTCATAAGTTTTTATAAGTTTATAAAACTTATAACTTTAAAAGGTTATAAAAACTTTAGTGTTGATAAGTTTAATTTGACCCACAAGTAACAGTTCAAAGAACAAAGATAATTGGTTCTTAGTAACCAAAAAAAAAAAAACAAGTTTTTTGTTTGTAGCTTGGTCTACAGTTATGCCCACACAGGTAAAGTAAACTGATTATCATCTGACAACAACACAGACAGAATTTGTCAAAAATCCATTTCTCATTGTTTGTTGGTGGTCTCCTCTCCTTAGTTTCTCACTGGGAAACCAAGGGATTCCAGGACAAGTTGACTCTACTAGTGGCTCCAACAATAGATGGCTGAACCTAGGCTAAGCTAATTATTGCCTTCTTTACCTCTGCCACTATTTCCAACCCCATGTGGTCCGGGCTGAGCATGTCTCAGGACTGTGCCTGAACACTGTGTGCTGTTGGGGCTCAGAACATGAAACCTCAGTGTATGGTACCTTAGCATGCTGAATACTTTGAGCAACAGAACACTGGGGCTGGGTGTGGTAGCTCATGCCTGTAATCCTAGCACACTGGGAGGCAGAGACAGATAGACTGCTTGAGGCCAGGAGTTTGACACCAGCCTGGGCAACATGGCAAAACCCAGTCTCTACAAAAAGTACAAAAAAATTTAGCTGGGTGTAATGGCATGCACTGTAGTCCCAGCTACTAGGAAGCTGAGATGGGAGGATCTCTTGAGACCGAGAGGCAATGGCTGCAGTTATCAGAGATTGTGTCACTGCACTCCATCCTGGATGACACACTGAGACCTTGTCTTGATAACAACAACAATACAGAACATTGGAAGAGCCTTGGAAGCAAGGTCTTTCTCATATCTCCTGCCCCTTTTTCTACCCTATCAAAGTTATTCATAGAAATCAGAATTTCTTTCCACCATGGAAGATCATAGAAACTGAATTCCTCAACCCCAGAGCAAGCCATAAAACCTAGAAAGGTCACTCTCTTTCTTCTCCCTTAAAGATCCTCATTCCAGAGAAGTCCTGCCCCATAATTAGAAAGAAGAAATGATACACAAAGAGGCCGGAAAAAATTTAAACAGACAGGCTTTGGTGGGTCCACCCACCCTCCCATCTATTACATTCAATTGTAGCCTTTTATCCAATCACATTTCAACACAGCTGTCTATCCTTCATCAAACCTAAGCATAAAAAATAAACAGTTTTTCTGAGTCTGTGGGTCTTGATTTCTGAAGGCTCCATGTCACATAAAACTCTGATTAAATAAATTTGTTTTTTTTCTTGCTAACCTGTCTTGTTTTATAGGAATGTTGGCTATGACCCTTATAATGCGTGAGGAAAGGTATCACCCCCTTTCACCTCTACAGTGGCATATCATCAGATGGTCTTTCCTCTCCTGGACTTGATGGTATGCAGATGTGGGGCCTTAGTCACCTTGCTACTACCAGAAAGGTTGGCTGCAGCAAAAGCACACTGAATAGGACATACACTGTCCAAGCACTGAACAGGACAACGTCCAGAACACTCTGGCGAATGGAGCTGGAGCTGACGGATTAAGGAAATTCTGAAGCCTACCAAACCCCTGGGCCTCTGTTCACATGAGCCTATTAAGTCCTTGACTGGGTAAGTGCAAGTTGTTGCTTTTAAAAGATCCAAACCAATTTATATGTATACAAGTATTCAATTCAATTATGTGAAGATTACAATATGCTATGGTAGAGACAGATGCACTGCTCAGATTCCTCTTCAAATAAGGACTTGCAGCCAACTACTGGGTGGGGCGGCAGCCAGCATCTTCCAAACAGCAGCCTGCAACAGCCACTGAGTGAGGGGGGACATAAACACTCATCCAGGTCAACCCAAAGCAGGACACTCCAACAGGGAAAACTTGCTTGAGCGTTCCTGTTGGGTTGGCCAAAGCATCTCTGTGACTGCATCACAGTTTGAATTTTACCTCTGTTCAATCCTTCTTCCTTCATACTTTCTTTTATGGAAGTTGATCCCTAGTAAACATCTTATACCCCAATCTCCATCTCAGTGCCTGCTTCTGAAGAATCCAACAGTAACATACAATCTCTGCCCTTTTTCACATTATAACACACTTTCACATTATAACACACTTTCACATTATAAAAAAAAAGAAAGCAGAAGAAAAGCAATTAAATACATATGAGAAGCCACATGTAAACAAACAATATGCCCCATCCTTCCCTTTTCAACCTTCCTTATAGCCACATACAGAACTAATCTTGGTGAGGCAGAAAGGCATTATTTAATAAATTGATGTAATATAATTAAGTTTGCTGAAAACCTACTTAAAATTGAAAAGGCCTTTGTGGATGTATTTCTCATGAGTCACCAGTTTTGCTTTTTTCTTTTTTTTTTTGAGACGGAGTTTTGCTCTTGTTACCCAGGCTGGAGTGCAATGGCACGATCTCGGCTCACCGCAACCTCCGCCTCCTGGGTTCAGGCAATTCTCCTGCCTCAGCCTCCTGAGTAGCTGGGATTACAGGCATGTGCCAGCATGTCCAGCTAATTTTTTGTATTTTTAGTAGAGACGGGGTTTCACCATGTTGACCAGAATGGTCTCGATCTCTTGACCTTGTGATCCACCTGCCTCGGCCTCCCAAAGTGCTGGGATTACAGGCGTGAGCCACTGCGCCTGGCCAATCTGGGTAAGATTTAAGTATTTAGGTGATGGGAAATAGATGTCTTCAGTCAAAATTTGCTGTGAAGCAAATTTCTTTTAAGTGAATCGATTTTTAATTAACTGCCATTGTAAAGTTGGAGATCAACTGAACAATAGAAAGATTACGCCTGGGACCTTTCTTTAGGTTTTCTTTACAACTAATATATTTAAAAGTATAAATAACTTTGATAAAACAATGATTTAGGGATTCTAGTCTCACTGCCTCATTGAAACATTTCTTACTCTGGTCACCAAAGACATTGATTTCACAAAATCCATGGACATTCATCAATCTCTTTCTGTTGACTTTTCTAAAGCATTATCATTCCCTTGACACTTCTCTTCTTTGACTTCTACCACACTATACTTTTCTAGTTTTATTCCCATTTTTCTGCTTCTCCTCGATATACTTTCCAGACTCATGCCTGTAAAACCAAAACTTTGGGAGGCTGAGGCAGGTGGATAACAACGTCAATACATCGAGACCATTCTCGCTAACACAGTGAAACTCTGTCTCTACTAAAAATACAAAAACTCAGCCGAGCATGGGGGCAGGCGCCTGTGGTCCCAGCTACTCAGGAAGCTGAGGCAGAAGAATCATTTGAACCTGGGAGGTGGAGGTTGCAGTGAGCCGAGATCGTACCAATGCACTCAAGCCTGGGTGACAGAGTGAGGCTTTGTTTCAAAAAAAAAAAAGAATGCTTTCTCCCTTCTCACTCTATTAGCAATCTCTGGTGTTCTCAGCCATACTCCTGGCTCTAAAGCAGCACTTATCCACAGATCACTGATACACAGATATGCATAATCAACTTATACACAGATTACTTACATAACATTTCAAATGAATGCCTCAAAGGCACCTCAAATTCCACCTGCCAAAGAGTGAACTTTTGACAGCCCTCCTCCCAAGTTGCCTATCTCAGAGAATGGTGCTCCTATTCATCCTGTCATGAAAAACCAAAACCAAATAGTCTTAGGTAAAATCCCTCTTTCCTTCACTGTCTCCCCATATTCAAATCCATCAAGTTATGTTGGTACAGCCTCCAAAATGTATTCTGAACACTATTCACAATACATTTTTCCCTATCCCTACAGGCTCTATCATAAAACAAAATGCTCTCATCTCTCACTTAGACTGCAATGACCTTCTAACTTGTCTAGTGGGCCAGTTAAAATTTGTGCCCCTTGTTTAAAACATTTCAATGAAATCTGCTGCTCTTGGGGTAAAGATAAAAAATCTTAATGTGGCTACAATGCACTGCATCTCCTGGTTTTTGCCTCAATTTCCATCAGCACTAAGCTCTTCCTTTTCCCTGTACCTTGCCACAGGAGCCGATTTTCACTGTTACTCCTACCATGGACCCTTAGCACCTGTATTCCTTCTGACTCAAATGCTCACCACTCTCCCATACCCATCACCACAATAACCCCTGCTTCTTCCTTAAATCTCAGCTTAATCTCTACCTCCTCAGGGAAGATTCTCATGGTCCTCCAGTTCTGGACCTACTTAATATATGCTCAGATCCTTGACGTCAACTACAGGCTTTCCTAGGAAAAAATTTTTTTTTTTTTGAGACGGAGTTTAGCTCTTGTTACCCAGGCTGGAGTACAATGGCGCGATCTCGGCTCACTGCAACCTCCGCCTCCTGGGTTCAGGCAATTCTCCTGCCTCAGCCTCCTGAGTAGCTGGGATTACAGGCACGCGCCACCATGCCCAGCTAATTTTTTGTATTTTTAGTAGAGACGGGGTTTCAACATGTTGACCAGGATGGTCTCGATCTCTTGACCTCGTGATCCACCCGCCTCAGCCTCCCGAAGTGCTGTGATTACAGGATTGAGCCACAGCGCCCGACCGCAGGAAAATGTTTTATTTGTTTGTGATTATTTGAGAAACCTTCTTCTTCCCCATAGACTGTAAGCTCCTAAAATGGCTGGGACTCATAGCCTTTTTGCCCTTGTTTAGTTTTTGTTTTGCTCATCATTGCAACTGAGGTTCCTGACAAACTGCCTCGTACACAATAGGCACTCAAGAGATATTTGTTAAAAGAATGCCCAGCACTTTGGGAGGCCGAGGCGGGTGGATCATGAGGTCAAGAGATCAAGACCATCCTGGTCAACATGGTGAAACCCCGTCTCTACTAAAAATACAAAAAATTAGCTGGGCATGGTGGCGCGTGCCTGTAATCCCAGCTACTCAGGAGGCTGAGGCAGGAGAATTGCCTGAACCCAGGAGGCGGAGGTTGCGGTGAGCCGAGATTGCGCCATTGCACTCCAGCCTGGGTAACAAGAGCGAAACTCCTTCCCCCCTGCCCCCAATAAAAGAATGACCAAAGAGTTAATAAATATAAGTAGAATGTTTTTGTTTTTGTTGTTGTTTTTGTTTTGTATTGAGACAGGGTCTCATTTTGTCACCCAGGGTGGAGTACAGTGGCACAAACAGTTCACTGCAGCCTCAACGTCCCGGGCTCAAGAGATCTTCCCACCTCAGCCTCCCAAGGAGCTGGGACTACAGGCGCGTGCCACGATATGAGATAATTTTTGCACTTTTTTTTGTAGAAACGGGGTTTAACCATGTTGGCCCAGGCTGATCTTGAACTCCTGAGCTCAAGCAATCTACCTGCCTTGGCCTCCCAAAGTTCTGGGATTACAGGTGTGAGCCACCATGCCCAGCCAAAGTACAATGTTTTAATAAGCTTGATCATAACATAAAGAAACTATTAGTAACATGTGTCATCATTAAATAATGTAAGTAGATAAAATCTCCTGTTTTGACAAATTATTGACATCTTTAAAAAAAATCACATGTAGGAATTTGATTATGGTGTACCAAATGCGAGCCATTCACCCTTAGTCTTCTACATTTTCTCTCCTGTATTTTCCTTCATTGTTTGGACCTTCCTTTGTCCATCCAAATAGTCTGAGTCAAGACCAACTCTTTCACGATGCCTTCCCTGGCTTCAGCATTTAATGGTCCCCTCTTTTTCCACCTTAATATTTCTTATGGAAGGGATTGGCAAACTTTTTCTGTAAAGGGCTTGATAGTAAATAAGAGGCTTTGCAGGCTATGTGGAATCTATCAAAACTACTATGCTCAGCCACTCTAGCAGGAAACCATTCACAGACAATATGTAAGTGAATGAACATGGCTGTGTTCCAATAAAATTTAATTTATAGATAATTAACTAGAATTCCATATATTTTTCACATCATAATAAATTCTTTCTTTTTTAAAAATGTGTTTCAATCTCTGAAAATACAAAAGTCAGTCTCAGCATGTGGGCCATACAAAAACAGATGTTGGCCAGATTTGGCCTATGGACTACGTGGTCTGTTGACTCCCTGTCTTACAAGACTTATTGGGGTTTCTCAGAGCACATACCTTGGAAAGTTAGCCTTTTGCTGTTGTTGTTGTTGTTTCTGTTTGAGACTGAGTTTCTCTCTTGTTGCCAAGGCTGGAGTGCAATGGCGCAATTTCGGCTCACTGCAACTTCCATCTCCCGGGTTTAAGTGATTCTCCTGCCTCAACCTCCTGAGTAGCTGGGATTATAGGCAGGAGCCACCATGCCCACCCTGCTAATTTGTGTACAATTGGTAGAGACTGGGTTTCACCAGGCTGGTCTCAAACTCCTGACCTCAGGTAATTCACCCTTCTTGGCCTCCCAAAGTGCTAGGATTACAGGCGTGAGCCACCATGTCCCACTGAAAAGTTAGTTTTTCATCAGGATATTATAAGGGGTTTTCATATGCCTGGTTGTATTTTATAGGTTTAACATGAATACAAAACACACAGTCACTATTACCTATTTTTGTTTACTAAAATAACCAATTTAACTTGTGCCACTAAGGTTTTTTTTTTTGTTGTTCTTGTTGTTTCTTCTGTTGGGTGTGCAAGAGGGTGCTGGTTGAAAGAAACTCTTTTCTTGACCTCTTGATTTAACTGAAGACTATCCCAATGTGATGTTAGCAGAGCAAGCTGTTACCACCAAACAAAACCTCACCATGTCAAAATTCGTCTCTACAATGTGCAGCCTGAACAAAATACAGAAACAAACTGAAAGCTGAGGCTAATAGAGTATTGCCACGGCTATTCAAAGCACATAATATATAACTTATACCAATAACAGTATTTAACATTTATTGAGTCCTTCCCACAGATCAGTCCCTTTGCTACTTATTTAAATGGCCTCATTTTTTTGAATGCTTTGAGTAAATGTTATATACATTTGACCTTGTATGACAAAATTATAGTAATAAAAAATCACATTTCTCCATTTTCTGTGTTGGTGTTTTGCATATACTTTGATTTGGAAAGGGAGGTCTGCTTTTACTTTTTCCTTTAATACACTACCCACTTGGGCACTTTATTGCAGGTTTCTTATTATTATTTGCTTCTCTGCTGTTTGTTTTATACAAACCTTACTTTTTCTCTAAGTAGGTTGTTAAATACGTTTCTTGAGAATGGGAATCAGGGCTTATACTTTCCCCCTACTTCTTACACACAAAACACCCTATTCACTCCCCTAAAACAAGGTTAGTACAGCAGGACCCTAGGAAATGAACTGCTACTTACAGAGTGAATTTTTAACTTAATTTGTGAATTCCTTAAATCTGCATTTTGCTTAAATGCATTTCACTGAAAGTGAGGTACATATAGGAATTCCCCTAAATTTTTAGTATGCTCTAATCTTAACATTATGTTGCAGATTATAATAATACATGGATATCAATACAAAATATTTAGTTTTAGTAACAGTAAAATAATCTATCACAACATGTTTTCTTTGTTAATTTAGGTGTCATACACCTCTGCCTGGTCAACACAGTATCTGTTTATTTTCTGGCATTAGCTTTGGGACTGTCCTGTAATCTGCCAGGCTGAGAAAAGTACTACTTTACATACTAAAACTTATTGGACTGCACCACCAAAAATTAACTAGTGTCATTGTTGCAATTTAAGAACAGAGAAGCTCTATGAAGCCTTCTCCTAGTATGCTGGACCAGTGGAAGTCCGGACTTTTTCAAATGACCCTTAGCATTTAGGAGAAAGTTGGATATAATGAGAGTAGATAACACTTGGCCTTCAGAAATGAGAGAGTGAAGCTGGAGCTGCTAAATGTTTTTTTTTTTTTGAGGCAGGGTCTCAGTCCTGTTGCCTAGGCTGGAGTGCAGTGGTGTGATCATGGGTCACAGCCTTGACTTCCTGGGCTCAGATGATTCCCAGCCTCCCAAATAGTTGGAATTACAGGTACGTGCCACCATACCTGGCTAATTTGTGAAGTTTTAAGAGACACGGACTTTCACCATGTTGTCCAGGCTGATCTCAAACTCCTGAGCTCAAGCAATCTGCCCACCTTAGTCTCCCAAACTGCTGGGATTACAGACACGAGCCACTGTGCCTGGCAAGTGGGTGCATCTTTTTTGTAAATATGGAATTTACAAAATTTGTAGTTGTTTTCTTTCTATTGCCAAGAATCATTTATAGGTCTCATTAAATGCTTTCCCCGATATAAGTACACAGGCAGCCCTTTTCAATCACACCTGAGGGATGAGTATTTCCCAAAGGGAACAGAATGAAAATAAGGAGTAACTACTGAATTTGTGCATACTGTTAAGATGTATGACATATTTTGAGAATTTTGATATTCTTCTTTTGTTTTAAGGAAAGGACTATGAATAGAGACACTGCATATGGTATACTCTCTTTGATTCCCATGTAATATAAACATATAATCAATGTGTGAAATAACTATACAGAAAATTGTCAATAGAGAGGGAGAATAAAACATTCTTCTAAACCATTCACTTAGACCAATAACAAAATTTAACAATTAATATTTTAACTTTATACATATGCAGACCCCTTTTTTCACCACACTAGCCCTCTCCCCATAGATGCATCATGCATATTTCCAATCACCCTTCCAGAGAGTAAATTAAAATTCAATTTTTATAATTTATTAACAAAACCAGTAATTAGTTTACTATTGAAAAATGCCATTTTCTGTATTTTACATGCCATAACTGTTATAATGTTCCCACTAAAAATTTTAATCTACTTTAAAAAAACAAAAATGAGTAGTTTAGTGCAGTTTATCTTCCCCTGGAACTACTGCCCCCTTGAGTTCTATTAGAAAACACAGTCCTGCACCACCCCTCACTGCATTTTATTAGTAAATTACCAATGAAAAACAAAACTTTATGAGGAAGCAAAGTTGACTTCACTGATGTGGAGCATTAAAATGATTACCAAAGAAGATTTCCTTTGAATTTCTAATCAGAAACTCATCTTGAAAAGCTGAAAAGGTAATTTTCACTACTATATATTCCCTAATGGTCACCAATGAAAAAATATTTAATCATACAGTGTTTACTGTCTTAGAAGAATTTCCTTTTCTACCTATTCAAGTTCACAATCCTACACCGACAGTTTTTAACATCTTCTGATTTAGTAATCTTGTTGCATTTATATCGGTGAATATTATATGCAGACCTCAGAGTTAAGTGGGTGGATCTGTCTAAGGGTAAGTACAATAGAATAAGATTTAAAATCTTTAACTCAGTGGGGTGTCTATGTTTTATTCTAATGTCTAAATTTATTTCAAGATGTAATGTAAATGTATGATAATGTAGAAAGAAACAGTGTGATTTTTAAAAATCAAAGTCATTAAATACTTGGAAAACCACAGATTCAGGATGTTGGAGCTTGAAAACACATCTGTAAGCCTTAATTTTAGATGTCTGTACTCCCCTTTGTAGTTTCTTGATCACCTGTTCTAAAATAATAGCATAAAGTCTATGGATTAAAAATCAAAATCTGTACCTCTGCATGGTATGGTCTCTGAAGGCTGAACAGTTAAAAAGCCTTGGGCTCTTCAACTTTAAATGGTTACTTTACTAGAACACAGGCACAAAACACAGTCTACAGTTCACAGTAGCATGTGCTTTATTCAGTCATTGTTTTGTGCAAATTAAGCTCTCTTGACCATTCAGTTAATAAAAAGCAAATGTAGAACATGAGGGAAAAGCTCTTCTGCACAAATTATAAAATCATCATTCTGATAAAAAGGATGAAATTAATAACGTATCTCTGTATATCTTATGTCCAGAAACTTGTTCAAACTCTGGCATACAAAGGAGGGGTGATTACTTGGCGATCCTTCATACAAATGCCAGCAGGACAAGTGTCTAACACTGTGTAACAATTTTGCATTATTTGGAGAAGAAATCCAGAAAACTTTTTTCTATTCACATTCATTCCATCTCTCTTCAATATATTTAAAGAATACTGAAGCTATTTTTAAATGTCATCCTACTCATCCACATGAACAACATTTACAAGTTCCCCATTCATGTATAAAAACAGGTCTGTGGACAAATAATATAAGGTTGGAAATGTGCTCCTACTATTTTATGAAAGAAAGGTCTTTTTGTAATTGAAATAGATCCTTTCAAAATCTGCAAAGGGCCCTCATAGTCTGCTCTAAAAATGTTATTGTCTAAACCATTTCTGGGACTAATTATTACATTATTTACTATGATTCGGAATCTCATGGAGGCTGAAGCAAAAATAAAAATGACTTTAAGAGCCGAAATTTTGAAAGGTTATATCAAAATTGACAGGAACAAGGATGCAAAAAAATAAATGAGTAACCGTCTATGAAAAATCAACTTAATGTTATCTTGGCAAGCCTATTTCTTATGCATTTTATCAGAGCATTTCAAAATTGGTAGGAAAGCAATCATCACACTGAGGAAAAAATTTGCTTCTCTGGCCAAATATGATAAGTGATATATTTAGCTCTTCTCCTTTGTATAGAAGTTGAGTCCTCTTAAAAAGCCAATAAGCCATTTATAACATTCATTTAAAAATCATAACATGTAATATATTTACATTTGGGGGGGTTCATGAATTTTTCTTCCTATTAATAGTTAGCATTTTCCATGTGTCCACCAGAATTCTACTTCTAAACGTCCTAAATCAACTTTTATAAATACCATCAAATGGTAAAAAACAATTGTTTACCTACAGTATGAAAATAAAGAAAGAACTGAGAATAGATATCAGTGGGAACCTCAGATGCTTTCTCGCTTAATATGTGGTATTTATTTAACCTTTACCACACTTAGGAAGAAAGAGAGGGCTTGGTATTTATGCCCACTGTGTGGAAAAACTCAATCTAAATAAATTTAAATAAAGTATTTTAGTAAGCTATTAACAAAGAAATTGTTGAAGAATTGTCTTCTAGTCCTAATCTTATATACTGTATAGGGTAGATCAGTGAGTAGCTAATCAAATAAATTAACAAAATGTTATCTAGCATCTGTTTTGATAATCTATTGACAATTTAGATAAGTTTTTGATTCTTCAACAACTCTTAATATTTAGTGTATTAGGAACATATAATGTGTTAGGAATCCATTATTGCAATTTAGCAATTTTATTATTAGACAAGAGGCAATAAATGGAAAATTTACTTATATTTTATTCATACTAAGAACTAATATGATAAATGGCATCATTCATAGAGTTCTCACCTTTTAAGTCAGATGCCAGAACAAAATGACACAAATTCAATTGTTTGAAAAGAACTAGGAAATTTTATGGAAAGAACTGTCTTCTCAAAAAAAGAAAAACAGATAAATCTATTTCCCAGACAGGTAAAATCATTGAAAAACATAAACATACTCTATATGCCAAAACACAACTTCTAAATATATAGATAAAATTGTTTTTTAAAAGTTTAAAATTCTAAGGAGCTAAAACTGCTCTGAATCTGTTTAAACAACATGATTAACATATCAATCTAGTTATTTTCCTAGATATAGATTCAGTATTTTAAAACTGTTACTCTTGTTTGCAATTCCATAAAGCTAAGGAGTCCAAAAAAACATGAATGATTATTGCAACACAAAATATTCTGATTTTGTTCATAAATGTTAGTTATCCTTTGCCTATGTACTGATGTGGCTATTTAGGCCTGAAGAGTCCACATATGGAGGATTAGCAAAACGATTTTTCATCTCAGTAAGAAGCCATTAATTCATTATCAATAACACTGATCCTGTGCAAATAGAAAATACAGTGTTTTTCAGACATGAGCAGGAACAGCTCTTAATTTAGGCAGTTACCCACATAGGATGATCTTAGTGTCACTAGGCCCATTTTCTCCATAATGTCTTTGGTGGCAGTTCAAAATTAATACCAAATGTATTGGAGATGCCTCAAAAGACCACTGGAATATGTGCTTATGTTACCCTGGAGTGAGAAAATATGATTGACAAGCAAGGGAAAGTGTAATGGGACACAGAGAAGGAGAACATAGTCAAACTTTCTTGCACTCACTGGCTCAGCTTAGGATGAATCATATTATCCAGAAGTAAACTCCAGAAGAACAAGAATTTGGCATTAAGCAGACATAAACAACAAAATCAGCTTTTCTTATTTGTGTGGTATAGGATGTATGCAACAAATGTGCCTGGATGGCCAGTGAGTATGGAAGGAAAAGGATCAAGAAATAAGGAGCTGTCTGAGCAATGAGATGAAGCTCTGGGTTAGGGCAGGCAGGCCTCAGAACAATAAATGAAAGGCAAGAGAAGTATGTCAAACTTAAGCATCCTGCTTTGGGCTTCGCACTGGAAGTTAAAAAGCTCTTATAGCGTGTTGATGAATGAAAGAGCAGTACAGATTTAAAGGCACCTGTGGGGGACATTTAACTAGTTTACTGATGGGTCTAGTAGAACTAGGGTTATACATATATTGATATAGTCTGGCTTTGTGTCCCCACCCAAATCTCATCTCCCAATTGTAATCCCAAGGTGTCAAGAGAGGGGTCTGGTGGGAGATGACTGAATCCTATATAGGGGCAGTTTCTCCTATGCTGTTTTTGTGATAGTGAATGAGTTCTCATGAGATCTGTTGGTTTAATAAATGGCAGTTTCACTCTGCATTCACTCTCTCTCTCTCTCTCCCTCTCTTGCTGCCTTGTGAAAAACGTGCCTGCTTCACCTTCTGCCATAACTGAAAGTTTCCTGAGGCCTCCCCAGCCACCCAGCCACGTGGAACTGTGGGTCAATTAAACTTTCTTGGTTTATAAATTACCCAGGCTCAGGCAGTATCTTTACAGCAGTGTGAAAATGGATTAATACATATATATAATTTGGACAAAAGCCTGACACTATGAAAGTTGTACATAGCTCTAACATTCTAGTGTTTAACAAAAGAACTAAGCAATTCATTTTTGTATGACTGACTCTTTGTCAATATTCAGATCTCAGCTTAAAGATTATATATTCAGAGATGTCTTCCCTGACCACCTACCATCTCTTTCCATAACATCATGCTACCATAATTCTCTGAACAACATTTTCTACTAACATGTTTCTTATCTATCTGTCCATAATCCCTATAACATAAGCTCCATGACTGCAGAAAACTTGTCTATTATTCACCACTACATCTCCTAGAAGAAGCTCATAGTACACACTAAATGAATATTGAATGAACAAACGGACAAGTGTATGATCAGATGGATGAAAACACAGACTTCAGCAAAACTTCAATAAATATCTGATGATAGTATTCTGAAAAAAACAAAAATCTAATCTGGGCTATCACATATTGCAAATATGACTTTCATGTCTATCTGCACAGTCTATGAATCACAGGGTATATTTTTTCTTAATGAAGGATTTGATTTCTTAATGAAGGGTAGCTTGAACTCAGGTGGTCAAGGCTGCAGTGAGCCATGATCATGCCACTGTACTCCAGCCTGAGCCACAGAGTGAGACCCCATCTGAAAACAAATAAATAAAGGCTTTGATTCACCTCCTATTAACTTGTTGGGTCAACTTGCCACAAAAACCAGTTTTGTTTTTTTTTTTGAGATGGAGTTTCGCTGTTGTTACCCAGGCTGGAGTGCAATGGCACGATCTCGGCTCACTGCAACCTCCACCTTCTCAGTTCAAGCAATTCTCCTGCCTCAGCCTCCTGAGTAGCTGGGACTACAGGCACACACCATCATGCCCAGCTAATTTTTGTATTTTTAGTAGGGATGGTGTTTCACCTCGTTGACCAGGATGGTCTCAATCTCTTGACCTCGTGATCCACCTGCCTTGGCCTCCCAAAGTGCTGGGATTATAGGCGTGAGCCACCACACCCGGCCAAAAACCAGTATTTAAAAAATATTTCTCAAATGGAATGGAAGCTGAACAAAACAATGTAATTTTTTTCATGTGGCACAAGTAAATGACTGTAAACATGAATATAACATGTTTACATGTTTATATCATGTTTATCATCATTAATAACTTAATGGATAAATTGTAGCATTCTTCAGAGAATATATGATCAGTTACTTAGGCTCTGAATTGCTATGTTCAAGAAAATACTAAGAGTAGCAATAGATAAGAGCAGAGTCATTAAAGATTCATCCTACTTACTCAATAGTCACCAGCAACTACTTGATATTTCCATTTCTTGGAATACTATCATGAGTAGCCTCATTAGAGTAAAGCTTTCCCAGTGGGAATCCACCAAGATATAATCACCCCCCAACTAAGCAATATTATAACTATAGTTTTTTAAAAATCTGAACTTTAATACAATTGATCAATAATGGTTGAACTAAGCCAATGAGAAATAAAGTATAAAACAGCTTATTATATAAGTAGATATATGTTTATATTTATCTGTTACTTTGGGTACACAGAACACTGTAGGGGGTCAGTATTTTGCCTCTGTCCTCTTAGTTTGTTTAGGCTAGGCCTGAGAATTAAACCAACCAAAGACAGATCAACAAGAGAAAAGCAAACACATTAATTTAATATAAGTTTTACATGGCACAGGAGATCTCATAGGGAAATGAAGACCCAAAGATGCAGTTAAGAGCTGAACATTTAGATACTGATTTATAGACAAATCATTAGACAAATTTAGACAAAAAGCAGTAAACTGTGGAAATGTGGCAAGGCAAAGAGGCTTGGGCTAGAGTCTTTTCGGTAGAGAAGGGATAGGAAGAGAAAGTTTCATGTCTGTTTGTACAGTTTTCCTTGGGCTCAACTTACCACCCTAGATATGAATGATACTTTCCTTCTGGTATAGGGAGGAAGGACATCTTTCACATGGAAATTTCACCCCCTGCTTTTAAGAAACAGAAGGAAGGTCAGAATGACCTTCTTGCTCCTGCTGTTTATCAAGTGTCTTTACCTCAAAATAGTTAATATGCTAGAATGGCATGTCTGAGGATGGCATATTCTTAACTTCTTCATCATCTTTCATTCTCTTAACTGACAGTTTATTAATCAAAATGTTTCCAACACCACAAAGGTATGAAAAATCGCAACCATAAGAATACAACCATTTTCTTGATCATCTCACAGAAATTAGATTGTCTAGTATGGGTTTACTGCTATGTATTCCAAAATAGTAATGCTTTTAGTATTGTTTACCTGTGAATAACCTATATTCAAAATTAATTAAACTATCCCAATTATCTCAATGACCTAAGCATTTCAGGAATCAAACGATTTATACTATGGTTTTTAGAACCATATTCACTGCTAGCATTCTAAATGCAATCACTGAAGTAAAAATAGATTCTTTACAATTGTATTATTTGTATAGCATACAAATTTTTTAAGATTATAAAGTAGCTTAGATCTTTGCACTGTGTTACTTTAGCAAGAAAACATTTCATCCTATGAAACCATCATTCTGAACCATCTAAAAAAGTTTTTAACTTTTAATTATGAAAAATTTCCAACATCTAAAAAGTAGAGGGAATAGTATAAGAATTTGCATGTATGCATTACCCAGGTCAACAATGAATTCATGGCTAATCTTACTTCCTTTGTATGCTGACCTACTCATCCTTGCATCAAACTGTCTTTAAGCAAATCCCAGAAATTGTGTTGTTATTATCTAAGTAGTTCTATAAGTAGTTCTAAAACATCTTCAGATTTAAAATACTTGCATAATGCAGGTTCTTGATGGTTTTATTTAACTGCTTATACCCTAACCAGGCGGCTGGTTTTATAACACAAAATTAAAATATGCTTTAGAAGGACTCCTAGGAGACTCTTCTTGATAATTTACAATATCAACAGCATACATTGCTATTACCCAAATATTCCTGGCTTCTTTAGGTACTTTCTGGCAGACTCTGACTATACAATTTTAAGAATAAAAATTAGAAAGAAAAGGCAAGTTATAATGTCATAGCTTTAACCATCTCTAGAGCCTAGTTTTCCTTCCTTTCTTTGTTTTCAAGGGGAAACTGCTCATAAGAAGATCAATTCATTCTTGGAATTGAGATGTACTGAGACAAATTTAGACATTTCACTACAAATACAGATGGAGCTGTAAACATAAAAGATCGGAACATCAGAAATTCTGCAGCAAAAATCTGTGATTACCATAGCTTTCAGAGGGAAGACCTTTTGGGGGAAAAACAGTGAATGTCTACACTGCTCTCCAGCTTAAAGAGTTTGTTCTTCAAGTCTTTGGACTTAAATTTCAGAGAGCTCCCAAATAAGAGTAGGGCTATGCCATTTTTACATCAGCCACTTGTTTCTGGGCATACTCAGAGGAGAGGCTCATTGAAGAACCTCTTCAGAACTTTGCTTTCAAAGTTTAATTATGAATGGAATAGCATAGCCGGAAGACAGAGAAATTCAATGTGTGTACATAGACCTCTGTCCACAAGCCAAGATTTTATTTCCAAAGGAACACAGGGCCTTCTCATTGAACAATGCTGTGGTTAGTGCATCATACTGACACAGGGCCTGTGCCAGGACATTTAAGCCTTTCTATGTTCCACTATTCATTACTCCCTGATGCTTGCCAAAGACCAGACTGAACCCATTCAGTATACACTTAGTGCTGGGCACAATCAAAGGAGGTCAAGGAAAACATGAACAAGTGTTTTGTATGCAGAATACAGCCACTGGCAGTGTCTATTAATGTAACAGTTCTCAGCTAATTCCTCTCATTTAGAAAATGGCTTTTGAACTAAATTGAGTTACCTCTCTGCCTTATTTCAACCCTAAGTGATACAAAAAGAGGAGAAACTGTTTATAATTAGCCATTTTAAAATATACTTTGTGATAGTAATTTCCCAAGCAATCTTCTCCCACGCTTCTCAATGGTGCATGGGCAGGGAAAAGTATTGGACAAAAAGTACCAACTTTTAATTACCACCTACACTAATCTGTGGCTTTTATTTTAATGAACAAAAATGTTTCAAAGCTACTAAAAATACAGAATTGACTATACAGGGCATGCCACTTAAGTCTGGAAGAAATGCTAGGAATATACTTTGCAAAAAGTTCAAGGTAGACATCATAGAAGCAAAAAACCGCTTGAGAAAGCGGCACATTTGACAGAGACCTGTGTGAATGGGTTCACAAGTTCCCAGGGCTGCTGCACTCCAGGACTAGGTCAATTGGTACAATAGGGAATTTAAGTGGCTGAGGCCTAAGTGAGATGAGTTGAATTTATTTCAGTAGCCTATACTCTGCCCCAAGGAAGAAGGATTAAATACCGCCTTGAGAGACAGATGTTCATTAAAGTGTTTGTGTCTCCAAAGAGGGACATTCACAAAGTCAGAATCTGAAGAGATACAGAGGGCATAAAAGATCCTGGTACTAAAACAGAAACTCTGAAGTGACTTCGCACTATTTTTAAATGCTGAATTTTTTAGTTCTGTATCAGTTTTCAGTCTCAAATTAAGAATATAAATTTCTTAAATTTTAATTTTCTTTCACTAAAAATGGCTTTATGTATATCAAATGTTTTAGCACTAAGGTAACCAAACCAATCTTCCAATCAGACAGACCTGAATTTTAATCCTGATTTCACCACTAACTGAGATCTCGGCAAATTGTTTAAACCTTTTTAAGATACTGATTCCTTATCTTTTAAATGAAAATAATGTCTACATTACTCCTTTGAATTTGAAGTGCATGTATTTGTGGGATGGGCTATCTCCATTTTAGCTTAGGCCACACTGTTGGTCAGAAGGGCTCCAGACCACAGCAACTGTGTTACTTTTGGCTTCTCTTTTGTTTTGCTTTCATTTAAGTCCATCATTGCACAATGGTGTGTGTAGATATACAGTACCAAAAAACAAGGCAAGACAAAAACCTTCATGAAAAGATAAAGATACTTCTGCAAACACACACTCAGGAATAATGTCTCTATGTGTGTCACTAATGTTTAACCATCTAAAGCATTCCTGGCAGAATTAATATATAAATACCTTTAATCGAATAGAGAAATCTTAAAGCAATTTTCTCATGCTATTTTTTTTTTTTTTGCCAGTGACATTTACTATTCTAAACACTGTAAAGCAAAGTTGAGAAACTAAATAAAAGATGTAATATCAACTAATAGCACCAGGTAAAATATGTTATAAACACCACAATGAATTTAATCAGAGGGAGAGATGGTACTTGCCATAAGAATTACTGGGTATTTTGAAAATATGTATAACATCTTCTGGAGCTGTAGGACTATTTAATTTTTCTGTCTCTAAACGTTTTATTTTATGTGAGCCAGTTAATCTGTCTTTGCTCTGCTTAAAACCATCAGCTGTGAATTCACTTGGGTAGAATTTGGAAAGCAATCAGAGCAAAAGAGACCCATTTCATCAGCTTTATACAATTATGCAAAAGGTAACCTGTATTCAGTAATTCAATTTCTAAAAGTTCAGGAAACTTCCTGCAGCTTATGGTTTTAAGCGGCAGCCATTCTGCTTTCCAGTGGCATGAAGAACTTTAAAATTCAAATAGCATTCATTAGAAAATGCACAAAGTCGGGCCATTGCCTGTTTTAAAAACAATACATTATTTACTACTGTTAAAAATGATCTTTTGGTCACCAGATTCTATCATTGCTATCTTCACTGCGAACCTTTAGTATAAAATACTATTAATCAAATTTAGAAAAAAAATAAAACATAACATTAGTCTTTGCGTGAATCAAAAGTAAACAAATACATGTCAAAAGATTAATTTTGGGCTTTTATATCATGTATTTATCAGGCAATCTCATACTCTTGTAGTAAAACATATTATTTTTCAACTGTTTCAAGACAAAGAAGAGATACTGTCTTTCACTTACACACAAAGCTTATCTTTTTCCTTGATGGAATAGGTATTTTGGGAAGCCAGTAGGGCTTTTTAATTATAGTTAAAAGAATAACAGGTCTCTTCCGTAGTTTTTGTATTGACTACATGTCTTTGAATTCTCAAAAAGTTTCCCTACAGTTACCCTTTCTTTCAATCCCCAACCAAATAACTGTTTTACTTTTTGTTGATTTACCCTTTTCATCCCCCTCTACCTGCTATCCTTTTCCCTCATTTTACAAAACAAATTGTTCCAGACAATATGCCTCATGCCAGGCCTTCTCAAACTTCCAACATCAGTTTTATTCTTTCTGTAAACCAAATATTAATCTTACATGCAACTGTACTTCTAAATGTTATTTTGATTAGAAAGATTACCGATAGTGAAAATAAAGAAGTCAATCCTCTAAGATTTCTCTTGAATTTACAAAAGATCACACTAAGTATAGGCTCAAAATGTCCAACTTAACCAACAACACTTATTGAATGTCTCTTGCAGGGCAGACTTCTGTGTGCTCCTGGTTAATGTCTAAGAGTTTAAGATATAGTCTCTGTCCTCCAAGATGTGTCTATTTTAATTGGAAGAGTAAGACTAATACACTAATAAAAACATTAAATAAAAACAGAAATACAAAGTAAGAGATTCATTCAGTGAGTGCAATAGATGACCCATGGTTTTGTGACAAAGCAAGTATGTAACAACATATATGGGATATTCTCATTTGTGTCAAAAATATATTTGGATATATATTTAAAATGACTGGAAGGATACATATATAGTAATTTGGGGAGTATGCAATTCTGATTTTTTTAAATGTATAAATAGCTTCTTATATCAAAAAATAGCAGTAAATAAAAAGGATTCTAATGAATGAAGAAAGAGAAGAGAAGGCTTCTTGGATAAGGTGCAACTGAAGTGGACCTTGGGGGCTGGACAGGAGGAATGATGGGCCAGGCAAGTGGCAGAGAGGGCAAAACACAATGAAAAGAAAGTTAATAGCACTTGTGAAAGAGTATAGTTGTGTTGATTTGGCTTCAGAAGGTGATTCAGGCAAAACTGTAGCAGAAAAGTCTGGCTGTTGTAAACCAGTGAAGACTAAGGCCACATGCTGTTTTGAAGCCATTAAACCTTGCATATGTTCTGAAAGTTGCCTTTACCTGAAAAGAAGGTAAAGGAGAAAACACAGCTTTCTTTGGATACACAATTAAGTTATAAGAATAAATAAGAAAAATATGGGAAAACAATTTAAATACTAGAAAAAAAGCCACATTCATCTCTTAATTATCCATATATATAGATTATCTACTTCATTTATTATCCTAGACAAATTATAAAATTCTTCCCAAATGGAATAGAGCAGGAGACAAACTTTGCTTTCAACTTTTCTGCTGATACAACTACTTTTAATGTTAACTAACAATTACAAAGACAGAAAGGAAATTTAAAGCTTGTTTAGGGTTTATATCCCATGAGGGAAAGGCCATTAAAACAAAATTACTTAGTATCTCTCCTTATTTATTAAGAAATATGCATCAAAGAGAGAGTAAAAGGGAGAGTGACTGAAAAGGAACAAGAAGAAGAATCTGATCCTCTAATATATTTTACATATTGCTTTACTGGATCATCGCTAGAAAGCAAGAGTTAATCCTATTTTAAACAGGGAGAAACTGAAGTTCACAAAAGTGAACTGAATGATTTACTCAAGTTCATTCAAGCAGTAAGTGCTAAACTGGGACTCATGCCAATTCTTCTAAGTTTCGGGCTCTTTCTACTATACCATCCCCACCACAGTCTAAAACAGGGAAAAACTGAGCATGTACGGCCCCAACAAGCAAGTAGGACAGGTTTTCAGTTCTTCTAAATAAGAAAATAAACAAAAATCAAATTGAAAAGACAGACAATAACAAGTGATGGCAAGAATGTGTAGAAACTAGAACTTTTTTTTTTTTTGAGTTTTGCTCTTGTTGCCCAGGATGGAATGCAATAGTACAATCTCAGCTCACTGCAACATCCGTCTCCTGGGTTCAAGCAAGTCTCCTATCTCAGCCTCCCGAGTAGCTGGGATTACAGGCACCCAAAACCATGCCCAGCTAAGTTTTTTAAGTTTTAGTAGAGATTGGTTTCACCACGTTGGTCAGGCTGGTCTCGAACTCCTGGCCTCAGGTGATCCACCTGCCTCAGCCTCCCAAAGTGCTGGGATTATAGGCATGAGCCACTGCGCCCGGCCAAAATTAGAACTTTTAAATGCTGCTAGTGGGATTATAAGATGGTACAACCACTTTGGAAAGGAGTCTGGGAATTCCTCAAAATATGAAATGTAAAGTTACCCCATGTCCCAGCCATTCTACTCGAAGGTATATATCCAAGAGAAATGGAAATATATGTCCATACAAAAACTTGTATACAAATATTCATAATAGGAAAATAGAAACAACCTAAATGTCTATCAACTAATGAACAGACACATGGTATATCAGTACAATGGAATATTATTTGTAAATAAAAAGAAATGAAGTTTGGAAATGAATACATGCTACAACATGAAAGAACACTGAAAACACTGTATTACCTGAAAAAAAAAATGACATAAAAGGGTGCACATTATATTACAGTATTCCATTTATATGAAATATCCAGAATAGGCAAATCCTAAGAGACAAAAAGTAGACGGATAGTTGCCAAGGGCTAAGGAAAAGGAATAACAAGGAGTGATGCTATGGGTTACAGGATTTCTTTTTGGACTGATGAAAATTTACTGAAATTAGATAGCAGCAATACTGAATATACTAAATTGTGAATGTGCTAAATATGAATATATTAAACCACTGTGAAAATACTAAAGCCACTGAATAGTATACCTTAAATGGGTGAATTTTGTGGTATGTAGTAACATCTCAATAAAGTTGTCTTTATTTATTTATTTATTTATTTATTTATTTATTTATTTATTGGGACGGAGTTTCATTCTTGTTACCCAGCCAGGCTGGAGTGAAATGGCACGATCTCGGCTCACCACAACCTCCGCTTCTTGGGTTCAAGAAATTCTCCTGCCTCAGCCTCCCAAGTAGCTGGGACCACAAGCGCGTACCACCATTCCCAGCTAATTTTTGTATTTTTAGTAGAGACGGGGTTTTACCATGTTGACCAGAATGGTCTCGATTTCTTGACCTCATGATCCACCCACCTCGGCCTCCCAAAGTGCTGGGATTACAGGCGTGAGCCACCGTGCCCAGCCCAAAGTTGTCACTTTTTAAAGAGGTGAAAAAAACTAAAGGAAATGCTCATAAAATTTGAAAAATGGTAAATACGATAAGAATCAATTATGTAAAATTTCCTACTTAAAAACCTCGAATTTTATTTTATTTATTCATTTTTTTGAGACAGAGTCTCACTCTGTCGCCCAGGCTGGAGTGCATGGTGAGATCTCAGCTCACTGCAACCTCCAGCTCGCAGGTTCAAGCGATTCTCCTGCTTCAGCCTCCTGAGTAGCTGGGATTACAGGCATGCACCACCATGCTTGGCTAATTTTTGTATTTTTAGTAGACAGGGTTTCACCATGTTGGCCAGGCTGGTCTCCAATGCCTGCCATCGGTCTCCCAAAGTGAACACCTCTGAATTTGAAATACAACTATGAAAAGCATATTATTTTTGTGTTTTCTGTTAATTAGATGAAATAAAGACATAAATGCGTTTTAACTGTTAAGCAAAGTGTCTACATGATCAGTCATTAATTTATAATTCACTGTCCTTTGAAGCTGGACAATTTCATTTTGCTAGATTCCTTTAAGAGAAATCTCATTCTTTTCATTCCAAAAGCTGTTTAAATAAAAACATGAAAAATAAAAAGGTGAATTACAGATTCTAAACTGTCTTAATAAAATACATAAGTTGAATAGAATATGTGGTGAGAAACAAGGTAAAAGGTTTTTCTTTTTTGAGACCCAGTTTTGCTCTTTTTGCCCAGGCTGGAGTGCAATGGTGCGATCTGGGCTCACTGCAACCTCTGCCTCTCGGGTTGAAGTGATTCTCCTGTCTCAGACTCCCAAGTAGCTGGGATAACAGGCACCTGCCACCATGCCTGGTTAATTTTTTTTATTTTTTTATTTTTGTAGAGACGGGGTTTCACCATGTTGGTCAGGCTGGTCTCTAACTCCTAACCTCAGGTGATCCACCCATCTCGGCCTCTCGAAGTGTTGGGATTACAGGCGAGAGTCACTGTACCCAGCCGGCAAAAGGTATTTTTAAAGGAACAGATGACACATACATAAACACAACTTTGGCAAGCCACAGGTACTGTTTTTGATGGCAGCTGTGGCCTGTCTGGAGCAGTGGCTGCCAAGATGCTGACTGCAGTGCGGGAAGTGTCGCCAGGGCCACTTGCTCCACAGAGGTGGTGGGAGCTTGGAAAAGCCAGGAGCCCCACCCTTTTCTGCGTTGGAGGGGAGGGAGCCCTGCCCTCTCAGGTGCAGCTACCAATGCCCAGCTGTAGCTGTGGACCCAGGCATTGCTGCGCTCCTGGGGCCAGGCAGGCCCCCTGCCCACAGGCTCAGAAGTGCCTGTTCCTGCTACCTGGCATCTCCACACTCCTGACACCCATGATGATTTTGAAGCAAAGTTGAGGCCGAGCCTGGGGCTGCTGCGACCCAGCTAGGTGTACCCACAATGGGGGCAGTGCTGACACACTAGACCCCTGCCACAGAGGTCTCTGGAATTTGCGATACACTGACAACCATCAGAGGGAGGTCAATGGGGGTGTGAGGGCAGCTCAGCACAAGCCTGCTGGCACTCCTTAGCATGCACAGCCTGGGGGCTATGGATGGCAGGTTGATGGTGGCTGGAGGCAGACAGGGTCCTAGGCAGGAAGGGGCAAATCCAGGGTGAAGCCCCACCTGCAGGCCAGGAATGGTGTGAAGCCTGGGGGTCAGGCTGCCAGTTCTGCAGACCAGAGTGAGAACTTACAGTGCTTTTTCCTGCTGACCATGGCTGCCCATGGCCACCCATGGACCAATCAGCACAAACTTACTCCCCTCTGAAGCCCATAAAACCCCCCAGATTCAGCCAGACTTGGGCAGAAGGCAGATGACCTGCCTGTGGATAGGAGCTACCAACTCTGGGTCATCTCTCAACTGAGGGATGCAGAAAAAACAGGACAACCTTCCTGGAGATGGGAGCTACCCAGTCCAGGTCTCCTCTCTGCTAAGAGCTGCACTCTCCAGGGTAACCTGCCTGCAGAAGGAAGGCACCCACTTTTGGTCTCCTGAAAGCTATACTATGGCTCAATAAAGCACCTCGTTGCCTTGCTCACCCTCCCGTCATTTGTATACCTCATTCTTCCTGGACATAGGACAAGAAATTGGGACCCACCAAATGGTGGGACCGAAAGAGCTGTAACAAAAACAGGGATGAAACATGGTCCCCAACCCCACTTGCCACATTGCAGGAGATGAGAGGGAGAGAAGAACTGTAGCCCTTTGGGGAGTCCAGACCTAGGAGCTCCCCAAGCCAGGGCTGTGACACACTCTTTGGGGCTCCGTGGTTCCTGGTATCTCCAAGCTTCAAGGTACCACCACATTTTCCAGTGCCCACAGTGGAAGCCACTTGTAGTACTCCTGGTCCAGCCACAGCCTCACAGGGAGCTGGTACCCATGCTGGTGCCCAGAGCTGCCCACCCTGCCGCAGCTGGCATGCCTGGCTGTGTGCAGTGGCTGGACCCTGCACTTGCTCGCTCACACACCCCTCGTCACGCACCTGGCTTGCCTTTGGTGAGTGGGGGATCTGGGCCACAAGGGCAAGCCAAGCACAGCCTGCCAGGCCAAGTGGGTAGAACAAGCCCAGTGGGCTAGCACAAAACTCAGGCAAAGGTGCCACCAGCTACAGAGGTTTCTGGCTGGCAAAGCAACACTCCAAGGATCCCATGACACTTTAACAGAATCAGGATGTATACCCATTTCCCGAGGGATTTCCTAAGGGTTGACTAATGTGAGCGCATCTCACTCCATCATTGTGCTCATCTTCCTTGTATCCTTCCAATGGATATCTGCTAAATACACACACATACACACACACACACACACACACACACACACACACACACACACACTTTGATTCTGCTTTTGATGAAATTGAATTAATTATATTCCAGGGAACATTTTTTCCTAATCCTATATTCCTCTTCATTTATCTAAAACTTCAGAGTCTGCTGAATTATGAAAGGTAAATAATGTTCTCCCTTTTCACTGGATTCAACACACATCTTATTTCTCATGAGAAGGATGGTAATCCTAGCTCTGCTACTCCACTATAGCTCTACAAACCCAAGGCAAGTCACTTGACCTCTCTGGGGTCAGTTTCTTCATCTTAAAGTAGGGAAATCTGAAGTATTAACTTCCTTGCACACTTTGGTGAGTATTAAATGAGTTATACAAGTTAGAATATATAAGCACTTTGATAAGTGTCACGTATGTAGTACAACATAAGCAATGTCTGTAAGTTAGCTAATTCCTTAATAATGAAAACAGAAATTATCTGCAGTCCCCAACTTTATTTGCAGCTTGGACTAAGATCAGCCTTAACTTATCTGGACATCCAGGCTGACACAGTACAAGAAAAGGAGCTGGAAAGAGAATAATATACACAAATAAATGAGAGGTACTTTAATTCGCAATTTATTCTCTCTTTCCTGTTCTTTTTCAGCTTCATAAGAGCCCTTCTTTAAGTATTCCTTTCTCCTTCTAAAAGCACACATGGCTGTTGATCATTCATTACTGTCCTACTAAGGAAAGGAGACATGGAATGGAAGGGATAAAACAATCTTAAATATTTTTTTTAGGATCTTGAGTGTGTGCTTTCAGAAAAACAAAACAAAACAAACAAAAAACCCACAATGAAATTGTGTGTGACCCTTATGGTGATAAGGATATTTGTTATATTTAGAGTGCAGATATCCAGAATATCACCTCCTTGCTTAAATCCAGAATGGTCTTAGTTTTCTGAACAGAAGAAAAAAACAAGAAAAACTTTACATTTGTTTCAGTGTTAATCCAGGTTCTAAAACAGAACTAGTTTTGGGAAAGTACTGCTCACATTGGAACCTCCATTCCTTAACTGCAGTGTGGAGCAATAGCATAGGGGGGTCATCTTAACTACTCTCTTGAGTTCCTACATCCAAGTCAGCAGCAAATGCTGTTGGCTCTATCCTCAAAATATATACAAAAGCTGACCACTTCCCATAATCTCCACTCCTATCACCCAAGTGGACACCACTATCTTATCTCACTTAAACTACTCCTGATTTATCTGCTTGCCATCCTTTCCCCAGTACTATCTCCTCACAACCCACTAGCCAGCATGATTCTTTTAAACCAATACTGAGAACCTGTCATTCTCCTGTTCAAAATCTTCCAAAGGCTTTCCATTGTACCTAGAATAAAATCCAGACCCCTTTGCATGACCTATTAGGCCCAACATAATCTGCCCGTTGGCTAGCACTCCAACCTTATTTGCTGCCTTTCCCTCCTTCTCTGATTTGGTCTGGCTATACTGCCCTTCTTTTTGTTTCTCAAACACACCAACGTGTTTCTGCTTCAAGAACTTTTTACTTATTATTTACTCTTTTATCCAAGTGGCTTACTCCTTGAATTTACTCAAGTTTCTGCTCCAGCGCCAGTTCCTCCATGAGTTGTAGTTCAAACTGCAAACATACACCCCACCCTCTACATCCTTTTAATCTCTTACACTTTTCTTAGCACTGTGTGAGGTAAAGAATATTTCTACTTGTCCATTATCATTTTTCCTGCTGGAATATAACTCTACAAAGGCAGTGGAGTTTTATTTTATTCACTGCTGTAATTCCAGTGCTAACAACAGGGAGATAAACAAGTATTTGTTAAATAAGTAGATAAACAATCAGATGAATCCTAATGAAAGTGCTTAGAAAACTATGAAGTATTATAAGCTCTTTAGATATAGGAGTCAGTTTTGGGCACTTAGGGCTGCACATCTAGTATGTTCAAAGGTTTGATAGATTCATGAATGAATGAAGTTGTTATGTCTAAGAATAATCATGTTAGGATAGATCTATATATATATTTAAATAAAGACATGGGTAGCTATTACTAAAGATTTCTAAATGTTTCCTTTAGTTTTCTACTGTAAAAAACACTTTGATAATCCTCTCCATTTTTTTCAGCACTAAGTAGAACACTCCTTAGAAATCCTAGATTTGTGTCCTTACTTAAAACAAGGCAAGTTAGGAAAAGCACCCCCATTATATCTGGTTCTCCTGTGGGCCAAAAGACTCACACTTGCAAAGATCTATTAGGAAAGTAAAAAGGGAGAACAGTCAGGGAAATATCTGAGGTTTACAAAAGGAAGGACAAAGAGTAATGGAGAGAATTGAGGAGGGTCAGGACACACTACCCCAAAATATGATACCTTGGCATTGGAGAAAACAGCAGAAGGAGGAAGGTCACTCTCACCTTCCCCATATCCTTTTTCTAACCTTCCCCTGAAGCAGGTCATAAGACCTTCATGTGAGAGGTGTTCATTCTATATCCACAAGAAAGGAACATCCTCATCTCTGATGATACAGGGACACAGAGGAGAATCTCAACAAACAAGACTTGCTAAGTTCTTCACAGTTTATTACCATTAGTTCATAACCTTTTTGTCTAATCATACTTCTCTGTATTGATTGACTTTTTCATCAAACCTAGCATAAAAATATACAGGTTTACTTGTTTCTTTAGGTTTTAATTTCCTTATGAAGGCCCCTCTGTCACCTAAAACTTATATTTAAATAAATTTCTATTTTTTTCTTGATATCTGTCTTGTCATAGGGGTCTCAGCCATAAACCTAGTAACGAATAAGATGAGAAATTTCCTTCCCCCACACAATGGAATACCGGTTAGTGCCCCACTCCTAGATTCCTATGCAGTCCTAGGGGAATCTTTAATTATGTTATTGCATTAGCTCAATGTAAACAATGTATATAATACATGATACAATGTATATAATACAAGAGCAATACATGATAAAATGTTCTGAGATAGCTTTAATCACAATACTACATTTTATCTGAATCAGTTTCCAAACATTAAATTCATTCAGTCCACAGAAGGTGGGGTCATGGGGATGATGCAGATAACACTCCCATTCTGTTAAAATCAGAGAAAGAATTCCCTTTCTTTATAATGAAGATTTCCATTTAAAAGTCTGCCATATGACTGAGTCAGAAACCTTCATTCTTTTCCAGCTTACAGGTCAATAAGTGATTAAGATCATAGTCTGTCAGTACCACACAGCTCCTAAATGGGAAGGGTGTGCCCGTAGCTCACACCTGCTCCTTGGCCAGCCAAGCGAAGCTCTCACTGTTCTGTTGGTACTCATTCTAACTCACTTGCTTTAAAATGGATATGAGACAAACCACTGGATTCAAGAACACCCAAGCAGAACCTGAGCATAATTCTGAATTAATCTCTTATAAGATTCTCTCTTCAAGTTTAATTTAAAAGAAATTCTTCAGTAATGCAGCCTATTTATTTATATTAACAACTGAAATAGACTAAAGTACATATTTCTAAATATAGAATTTCTGAAATTTCTTAACTAGATATTAATGGAAATAATTGAAGTACATTATGACTATGTCATACAAAAAAGAAAAAGAAACCTATGAATTAATGGCTGTATTCATAAACAAAATTGCCACTTGAATGTGGAAATTAGATTTTAATTAATGGCTCTTTTTGTCAAGTTTGTAAACAGTTTCACATTTGAAAGTAGTTTCCTATTTACAACCCTAATTTCCACACAGAGGAAAAGAAGGCAGAAGATTAAATGATTTTCATTTTAAAATACTGAGTAATGTACAATTTTTTCTAACATTCTTTATTTTCTTGTTTAATTTTTTAAAAGTTTTTATGAGAATCATAACTTGCCAATCCTACTGCAGTTTTCTTTCTTTTTCAGTACATTGGCATGCAAAAAAAAAAAAAAAAAAAGGGCGGATTTGTGCCTAAAAATTTTCACAGTGCTATTATTTGCTGTACCTATTTTTTTTTTTAAGGAGAAAGAGCCCTACACATCTTTATTAGGATGGCATTTTAGGTGTTTTTTGTATTAACCATCTAAAGAGCAGTTAAAATAAAATACTGTAATAATTATTAAACTTGATACTAAGCCTCCCTTTCCTCCTCCCTAATATATTGAATACTTCACATTCACCAGCATCAAGTCTCTTTCACTAGGACAATGGCAACAAGAAACCTTCAACAAGTGCGGGCCTGACCCCTTTCCTTTTTCTACAGATCCAGCTGAGCAGCAAAAACTGCTTGAAATTCAGCAATCACATTTCTCACTGTTCCAGAATGACCTATTTCGCACTAGAATGAACCAGTGAATTCATACATATAAATAACTATCTGCAGACCCTGCTTTTCAAAACATGAACAGAAATAAGCAAAAGAATAAAAAAAGAAGAGAAAAAAAGAAGAAAGGGGAAGCAGCAGTTACAAATGAAGGTTTGATACGATTGGTACTTTTCAATTGTTTGATATGACAATTAGAAAGCAAAACAAGACTATAAACTTAGATATCAATGTGACATTTAAAGTTTTTTGGAATTGTCAATAAATAACATTCATGATAGTCCAAATCAAAATAAGTTAGATTTTTTTTCTCTCTAAAACATACATCATCATATTCTTAGATTTAAGTTATCTTTTCTTGGGAACTAAGAAAAAAAGCTGTAAGCATTTCTTAGCAGAATATGCCTATAAATTAGCTGCACTATCCTTCATCCTTTAGTACTTATTGAATGCTGTATTCAAGATCTAGTTACATGCTACATACTGCACACACAAAGTTTCTAAGACCTTCTGATCTCTCAGGATAATCTCCAATTATAACAATCTTTTAATCTCAGTCAGTGTAAAAAAAAATGTTCATGCTAGCTTTTTCATCAAGGCTACGGGGACACAGTTTATTAATCTCTGTATTTCCAATAATTAAGAGAATCCTATTATGTAATGAACTCTCAATAAATGTTTGCAAATAAATTGATAAGGCTCTGCCTTTGAGCTTACAGAAGTTCAAGCAGTGTTCAGAGAACCCAGTATATAGATCATGTTAGCACTCTGTATCATAAACTTTTTGACACACATTGAATAAGGGGTAATGTTGCGCAATAAAATCTGAGAGAAGGGAGACAAATGAAGACAGCAATATGTATAAGTAAAATGTTCACTGCCTGAAAAGGGTTTCCAGATGTGGCATGGGGAAGCAGATTCCAAACAGAGCCCAACGGTCTTGCTTGGTTCAGGAGACAGAGTTTAGGGCTCTAGGACACCAAGTTGGCCAGAATCTGCTCGCAAGAGTACCAGAAAGGAGGGAGCTGCACAGAAAGGGCAAGTGAGCAAGCTCTGGAGACAGGCACAGTCCAATTGAGTCTTTGGTTGAATACTGGTCTGGTCATATATAAAAGAAAACTACTGACTCCAGGGAAAGAACCATCATTAAGGAAGAAGTGGAAACTATCTGGAGCTCATGAAGGCCTTGGTACTTGATGATCTTGGATAGAAATGACCTGCTAATTCACAGGGCATTGAGTCAAGGGCTCAGAAGGGCAAACCCTCACTAGTGTGGCCAAATTAGCACTTGACTATAAACACTGTTCAGGATTTACCAAAAAGGCTTACAAGCAAGCCAAAGATGATCAAACTGTGCCCAAGCACCTTTACTCTTCCCAGAACAAGGCCCATAAATATTTTCTTTTCTTTTCTTTTTTGTGAGACAGAGTCTTCCTTCATCGCCAGGTGCCAGGCTGGAGTGCAGTGGCGCGATTTTGGTTCACTGCAACCTCCGCCTCCCAGGTTCAAGCAATTCTCCTGCCTCAGAGTCCCAAGTAGCTGTGACTACAGGTGTGTGCCACCACACCCAGCTAATTTTTGCATTATTAGTACAGATGGGGTTTCACCATGTTGGCCAGGATGGTCTTGATCTCTTGACCTCATGATCTGCCCACCTTGGCCTCCCAAAGTGCTGAGATTACAGGTGTGAGCCACCGTGCCCAGCCTCCAGAAATATTTTTTAAAAATTTTTAAATCAATACCAAACGACATAATATTCATAATGTCTGTCATCCAGTCAAAATTGCCAGGCATGAAAAGAAACAGAAAAAAATCATATCCCAAAATGAGGAGAAAAAACAATCAATATAAATAGACATATAAATAGGCGATAGAATTAGTGAACAAGGCATTTAATCCGGTATTAAAGTGTGTTACTGTTTAAGAAGGAGAAGGAATGCATGAATATGATCAAGAACAAAATGAAAGTTGTAAAAAGATCCCAATCAAACATCGATAGATGAAATGGTATGCTAACATGCTTCAAGGTCAAAATATCCTAAATTTAACAAATATTGTATTTTCATAAAACTTTATTTACTTCCTCTGATATCTTCTGATATTTTAACTCTAAAACAGGGGTAAAGTGGGAGTAGATATTGTGTCACATCTCATTGGTCCTAACCTTTTTCTTAATTCACCATTCATATTCTTAAATAATCTTTCTAATGTTCTTCATCTATTCTACCTCCATTTACAGATAGAAAGTCATATTCCTAAAATTGCCTAGCATATAGTGATCAAGTTGACTGCAATCTAGAGTTTGCTAATACCTCACCCAGTCTTTCTTAATACTTCTTACTTTCACCCAGACCTCCTTCATCCAGATGTGGCAGTACTGAAGGGAAGGTATGAGCAGGGCATCAGAGTCGTGCCTTCCCATCTGAGCTATGCCTCTGTCTGAAGACCACATGGGCATGTGGCTAACCTGGGTAGATCTCAATATCTTTATCTTCTAAATTAAAAGATTGGATGTAATCTGCAATTTTTAAACACATTTTAGCTAGTGAGCCTTTAAATCTAATGTGCAAGAGAGACAGATGCTATGCTAAGCTTGCACTGTGTGTATATATGCTATACACATACATATACATATATATAGCATATATACAAATATAAATCATCATTTATATTAATTTAGTGTGACAGTTAATGAAAGACAATTAGGTACACACACTAAATGTCTGATTGAAACAAATTAGGCAAGAAAATAATATTATAGCCAATAATGAGAAATAAAGTTGTTGTGTGCCAGTGGCCCCACATTCTTTGTTTGTGATGGCGTAGGATACTAAGTGACTTTTATATTCTTAGTTGTGGACATTCATTTTTCAAACTATGTATACACATACATATACATAGATATAGCATATGTACACATATGTGTATGTGTTGGAAAAATTGTTTTCTTAAATTTTCTTCCAATGTATCAAGAATGAAAGGAAATATGAATAGGGGTAATAAATGTGAGCAAATCTAGTAAAGTAAATGAAAAATATGGGGAAATGGACAGAAAAAAAAGTAATTCTGAGATGTTCTCTGATGGAGGACAGCTACTGAGGGACTCTCATAAAAGTCACAGAGGCACCATCAAAAAGTAATAAATCTCTCTGAGAAATGTCCCCATTGAATTAAGCACTCCTCACATTAAAAATATCCAATTTTAGGTATACCTATTTTAAAATTCTCTTTTCTTGTTAATCTGGAAAGTCTGTCCCCAGAATCATTCTATATCATATATCTGTCTGCTTTGAAATAATCCCTGAACACTACACCTGAAATAGTCATGCCAGGAATGAAGCTGTGTATAACTATTCTTCAGAAAATTGGCTTTTCAAAGGAAAATGTGCATCAGATTTTAGGCATAATTAGTTAAGACATATCCATTTCAGTTTCTTCTCTTTTTTAGAACTTTTACATGTAGAAGAAATTTATAATTATTAATTTTAAGAGTCCTTTAAACAACATAATCCTTTGCATGTCTCTTTCAGTTACAGAAATAGACTTGTGGCAGTTAATTATTTGTATTACACAGCAGTGCTGTATATGAAGGTCATGAAGCTAATTTTCATTATCATTCTAATGAAATAAACAAGAAAGTACCCCTCCCAAAGAATTTATACACCATTGTATGAATATAACATGTTCACATTTTACAAAATCCAGTTCCCAGATCTTCACAATTGTTTGTGTATTTATTGTGCATCATAACAATTTGCTTACTCTTAAAGTACTTCTGATTTGTTTTGTATCTTACAGAGTTTATTCCATTCTATTCCCTATAAGTTGTCTCTTGTTTCCAAATTATTATAAATTCAGTATGATATCAAGCATAAATCAATGTTTATATTAATTGAGTGTGATTGTTAATGAAAGACAATTAGGTATACACCACTAAATGTCTGATTGAAACAAATTAGGCAAGAAAATAATTTTATAGCCAATAATGAGAAATAAAGTTGTTGTGTGCTAGTAGCCCCACATTCTTTTTTTGTGATGGTGTAGGATATCAAGTGACTTTTATATTCTTATTTGTGGACATTTGTTTTTCAAACTATGTATATCGGAAAGAAATTCAAAGGGGCAAAATTTGCCCTGATACTGAGTGGAGCACACAAATGCTCGGCGCACTGAAAATGTTTCAAGCTTGGTTGGCTTTCAATGCAGGTAAAGAAAATTAGAGATAGGCCACTGAATGCTAATCACACTACTGCATCTATTCACCACATTTAAATTCTTATGGTGAACACATTTATCATTGGCTTGTGATGCTACATCATTTTTTAATATTGCTCTCAAGCTGCTTGATAGAATTTCATGTCCTAAGTCCAGAAAACCACGGTAAATGACAAACATGTAGCAGATTTCTTATCTGGAATATTAACAGAGTGTCTCCAATCCTATACAGAAATGTAGTCCAAAAAATGTAGTAATTTCAACGTGGTGTCCACTCTTTTAAGTGTATACAAGATCATAATCCCCAAGCAATTTTTTAAATGACTGCATCAATCACCTGAAAATTGGGCAAATTCAAGACATATCACAAAAAAAATCTGAGGAATAATTATTCAGAAATATACGAAGGTATTTATGTCCAAGTGCAATAACCTGATAGAACAGTAAGTCCTCAAGTTAAGCAAACAAAAGTATTCACCTCTTCCTAGTACCCAACGGAAAATCAGAATGTTCACACTGGAAGAAAAAAAAAAGCAGAAACAGGAGAAGCATGAGCTTTATTCACTGGTTTTTTTAAACCGAAGTTAGTTTTTATATGAAAATTCAGTATGCATATAGGTTGAAACTGATACGAAAAAAGTATAGTATTTAAAACTTTTGTTTCTTCAAAAAGCTGATACTATCATATACATAAACTTAGGGCCTTAAATTCTAGAACTGACCTTATTTTTTACACTAACTGTTTCTATGTAAACCTCATTGGCTCAATTCATTACAAAACGGATGCGGTAGGCACTGAGGCAAATTGGAAAGCACAGGACACTAGACAGAAGTCAGCTCAAGCTGCTGGGGAGAAGGAGAAATGCAGACACAGTATTTTCACATCTTTCCATCTTTGGGAAAAAAAAGAGTAAAATCTCCCAGTTTTTAAATATTTACAACTAATTAAAGGTTGAAAAAGTTATTTCTCTGAGTAGTTCTACAAAATGACCCGCATATACAGACCGTGTCAGTAAAGAGCAACTGAGCAAGATGAAAAGCAGTAAGAATTAGAGCTATCGAAGATGAAAGAGAAGGCCCCAAGATATCTTCTCATTTGGCCCCTGCCTGCAGACAGGTAAGATATTCATCTGGTTTAAAAGCTGAGGCAGTCAAGGCTCAGAGATTAAAATGAGCTTATCCAAAATCACACTGAAAGTAAATAACATGACAAGCTGACCACTTTCCATGACTGTTTTTGTTTTTAAGCTAAATAACTATTGGCTTGGAAATTTTACTTAATAATTCATGGCCTGAAAAAAGATGAAAAGGAAATTTTGAAATAAAGGTGACAGTGAACAAAATCACCATAGATGGAGTATAATAAACAAAAAAGAAAGCAGAAACAAGAAAAACACTAAAGTTAAGAAAGCATATAATAAGGAGCATAGTAAGGGCTTCTTTGCCTTTTATCAGTAAAAGTATTAAAGAATAGTTCTAGGAGAAAGAGCAACAAAATATAAAGCAGGTGGAGAATCGTTAGGTAGTTAAGAGATTAACTGCAATCCATGGCAGGGTAGTGAATATCATTAATTCAATTGGGCAATTAAAATAATAAAACTGGTTAATAAGATAAAGAATAATGGGATGACAGATGCATAATACAGTTTTCAAAAAAATTTATGTGCACAAAATATTATCACTCAAAAAAAAAAAAAAGCTCAGATAGATCCATCCTGGAATTAACACCCAGGTATTTAATTCCCAATCTGGCCAGCAGCCTTGTATCTTCAGCTTTAGCAGGGCTGACTGTAATTCTCTGCCCTCAACCAGAAACAGGGAGAGAATATATTTTAAAAAATGGAATTGGTGAAAACAGTAATTTTCATACTTCTGTTAGGGCTAGGAATATTTCATTTGTTATTTCAAGTGTGTGAAACATTTAAGAGAATCTGACACATTAGGAAATCGATATTTAAGGCTTGTGGTTTTTATTTAAAATATTTTAAAGCAAGTAGTAGTAATCTTGACATTTTAATTTGAAATACTTAAGAACAGTTTGATTGACTAAGTTCATATACAGTGTTTGAAAACTGATTGACTAGGGCATGCATTTGGCTTTCAGTGTGAAAGTGGTGTTTAAGTGCTCAGAAAGACTTGTATTAGATTTGTAAGGCTGCCTTCCCAGAGATTTAGAGTGCTTGGGAAAATTAAGCATATTGGGAGTTACAGTTTGAGAAGTCTAAAGTAATGCAATTAATCAAGTTTGAAAATGATGTGAAATGTTTAGGAGAATTTAATCTGTCAAATGTATAAGCTAATTGATCACTAATTAAGGAACAAATGAAAATGAGTGTTTTAAATATAATCCCAAATTACTAGATTAATAAGATTTATAAATTGAGCTTAAAGGTTTATGAAAACACTCAGCTTTATAAATTAAAACACAGTAACTATTAGTATACCTTTCATATACAAAAGACCCTCAAATATTGAAAGCCCAAATGACTATGAAGATGACATTAATTTCTCCAATCAAAAAATGAGCATTTTTAAAAAAAATTGAGATATTAATAGGTAGTCCCTAAAGAAAAGGGGTCTGTGGTTTGGGGTGGGGGGAACTCAGGAAGGAGCTACTAACTACAATCCCTCTTAGAAATTCCTGGTGTACATTATTAAAGGTGTTAAGAAGGATTGCAATTAAGAAATGTTTCATATTTCAGTTTTTGACATAGGAGTTTGTGAAGGCTTATTAACATCTTGCAGAATTGCCAGAAATGCTCTAGAAAGCACAGTTTAGGAAGCCTTACATTAGACAGCAGGGAAAAACTCCTTCAAGGATTCTTCTTCATCAGAATACTAGGAACCATAAGGAATGAAAATGAAAGAGATGGCAGGAGGCTGATGTTTTCATTATTTGGTATTACGACATAACAGCTGGCAGGTAGGCTGCCTTAATGACATGGTATAGTTCTACCTCAGGATTTTTTTCAGGTATTATCACTGCTAAAAACTACTGTTTGTGCTTTCCTAAGTATAACACTTGAGCCTGTTCTCTTCTTAAAACTCCATGCATATATTAGATTTTCACTATAACCTATATTCTGGATGATTCCAAAATCCTTAACGCCATTCCTGACTTACATCTTCAGATTCAAACCCAACTGCCTAAGGGACATCCCTGCCTGGTGGACCTAAAATAACTTCAAATTCGACAAAGTCAATACTGAGTCCATTCTTTTCCATACAAAAGTTGTTTGTACTGCAGCTTTCCACAATTCTGTTACAGTATCCCATCTACCCAGGTGCTCAATCTAAAAACTTGAGAAAATTCTAGAGTCCCTCATCTCCCTCAGCCTCCACATGGGTAAGACCTTTTGCAACACATCCCTGATCCCACTTAAGTTCATCCTTTTTTTTCCATTTTGGTTTTCACTACTGACATTTAGGATGTCATTATTTTTTTTCCTGGGGCTTTGCAATCTCTGACGGGTTGTCTTTCTTTTTTTTTTTTTTTTTGGCAAGCTTTTTCATTTTTAATATTCAAAAAGTTTCATTTTTTATTTAGCTTTCTGACTCCGTGCTTGCACCTTCAACACTTTCACAATTTTCTGCTCCTCAATAAGGAAAGCATGCTTGATCCTGTCAGGAACACATTTAGCAGACATGGAACCACCATAGGCCCTGCTGACATGTTTCTTTGTTTTGGACAATCTCATAAGAACTTTAGATCTTATAGCACCAACCCTTTGAAGTCTGCCTGGGCACACGCCACATGCAGATTTTGGTGCTTTCTCAACCTTCTTGGTATAAAGGTAAATAATGCTATTACCAGGGATTTGGGACAGCCTAATTTTGTTAGAGGCTTTATTGTAGGAAAGCCTATGCCGGTATGTCAAATGCTGGACCCTTTTGAGTGCCTGAAGACAACCTCCCCAGAAAAGCGGTTGTCTTTCTTATGATCTCCCTCTATAGTCCATAGTATGAGGTGTTTCAAATTTTGTTTTTTAGCATAAGTCATTCAATGCTTCCCGATCATGTATATATAATATTCTAAATTCCTGGGATAATATCCATAGTCCTTCATGTTCTGGCTTCTACTTAGCTCTCTAGACCCCTCTCTCACTATGACCTCTAGGCTTATGCTGTGTTCTGGACACATCCAACTTGTCACACATGCAGTGATCCTTCTGATCTCTCTATCTTTATACATGCGGTTTTCTCTGGAACACCCTTACTATATTCCCTTCTCCCAAAAAACTCCTAACTCACCCATGAAGATTCAAATGAGATACCACCTCCTCTGGGGAGCCTCCCCTACCCTTTACATATTTCCTTATTTTTCTGGCCTAGTTCACCACACTTTAGTCATATATGCAAAAGGCACTCATTTCAAATTGCTGCAATTATTTGCTTTACATAGCTGCCAGGCCGCTAAGACTGGAACAACATGGAGTACTTTCCAGATCTTGTAAAATCTTTGAAAAATACCTGGCAAAGTACCTAAACTAAGTCAATACTCTTAATTTTTTTTATTTTTATTTTTTATTTTTGAGATGGAGGCTCACTCTGTCACCCAGGCTGTAATGCAGTGGCACGATCTTGACTCACTGCAACCTCCGCCTCCCAGGTTCAAATGATACTCCTGCCTCAGCCTCCTGAGTAGCTGGGACTACAGGAGTGTGCCACCACACCCAGCTAATTTTCATTTAGTAGAAACAGACCTTCACCACATTGGACAGGCTATTTCGAACTCCTGACCGCATGATCCACCCACCTCGGCCTCCCAAAGTGCTGGAATTACAAGCTTGAGCCATTGTGCCCGGCCAATACTCTAATTTTTTTTTAAGTCTAAGTTATAATTCAACTATTTTCTTCTTTGTCTAATTCTCCCTTAGAAATTCCATCAGAAATTTCCATCTCACTATCTTACCTATTTCAACTTTTCTTTTTTTGTTTTTTTTTAATTGGCCAATAGTAAATGATAGATGTCCCCTCCTATTTTTCCTACTCATTTCTATAATTAAAGCACAAAATATAGTCAAGTTTCAAATATGTTAATTTTAATGTATGTCCCTTCTCTTCTGGTCACAAATCCATATGCCTGAAGGACATTAGAATCTGAAATACTTGACCTGATTCTTCTGTTAGAGGCCTTAGTCTTTCTTCCTCTATGGGAAAAATTGATTCAATTCAAAAATTACTGAGCAACCACAAAGGGGTCACGTCAGGTATGAAGGTAACAGTTTTCCCATATTTAGCAAAAACCACTCATGACAGTGACCCTTTCATTCTTTTGAGCCCTATTTAAGCACTCTAAGATTTAGTACAATTTGCTATCTACAAGAAGTCTTTCCTAATCACCCTCTCTCTGTTGTTTGTCCTCTGTGTTTAAATAAAACACAAGTATTTTGTCATACCACGGTACTCATAATTTTATTCATTAATATGTCTCCTTCTACTTGCTGTCAAATTTCTCTGTCTCTAGTTTTTGTCTCGCCTCAGGAGCAGGACCATTATTTCCTGTTTATTTCTGTGTCACTGATAGAACCTAATGCAGTGCTCTGCATACTTTATGAACTCAAAAAACACATGTGCTGTAAAAGGAAACGTTATAGGACTACGATTTTCCTGATTCATGTATTAATATAGTTAATCTAACAACTCACTGAGTTAATAGACTTTTTGTAATCAGGTTTCTAGAAAGTCAGGCTTAGATAAAAGCAAAAGAGGATGCCAGTACCTTATTAAAAATATAAATAAATTCAAGGGAATGTGACATTCCAATAGCCTCTTATCACTCTTGTTAAGTGCTCAGGGTGAGGACTGCTCAGGGTCAGATGGGAAGCTCCTGCATGACCCTGGTGTGGATAATCATGTCCTGAGGTTGTGCAAGGGGAATGCCACTAGTCCCAAATCAACAAGCTCATTCTATTCATAGCCTGGAATAAATTATGCACTTCAGGGAATGGAAACTGCTATTCTCCCCAGGAGGAACCAGGGCTATATGAGCAGGTCAGAGTACCTGCCTTGGGCATGTCAGGTGCCCAGCCAGCTGTGAAGTTCTTTCTAGCCTTGCTCAGTTGGAAGCAGCATAATAGGCCCTATTGTTAACACTGAGAAAATCAGGACCCTCAACTTCAGAAAGAATGTATTTCTCTTTTTCTAAAACTCAATGAAGAAAGTTCTGGAATAAGGCCTTAAGGATCAATGAAATTGCAGCATTCATATTTTTGTCAGAAAATTAATTAAGAACATCTAATACTCCAGTGAGGAGGAATTAGCTGTAGACTAACTTGTTACTTGAATTAGACATTTTGCAAAAGGTTCTATGTAATGAGAATATACAATCTACTCATTTTGAACCTATTTAATCCCCCTACATTCTAACAACAGCAATTCCTGATCATTTCCCTATATTTTTAAATAATCCTGTAGAACGAAATTTAGTAAAGATTAACCTGTGACTGCATTTCCATGTTATAGAACTTCAAAAAATAAAGAAACCAGTTGTATCTGATGGGTCACCCATTGGCTCTAGAGCACTGCTTGATCAGGTCCTGCCATCAGACTTGCTTCATAGTGTCCATTAATCATTATTGCAAACACATGCTGCATTGTACTCTTTGTGTTGGTCTACAATTAACTTTCGCCTACCTTCATTCCCACCTCAAAAAACTAGGCAGTAGGTGAAAGGAAAACAGCTTGAGAACAGGATCTTAATGTCACTTAGTGGAACAAAAACTCTCTGGGGGGAAGGGGAAAGGCACAAAATTCCCCTATTCCAGTGTTTTGGAACAAAGAGGTTGATCCATAGCCTAAACAGGACTAGTTTTTGTTTTGTTTTTTTCTGAGACGGAGCATCAACCTGTTGCCGAGGCTGGAGTGCAATGGCACGATCGTGGCTCACGGCAAACTTCACCTCCTGGGTTCAAACAATTCTCCTGCCTCAGCCTCCCGTGTAGCTGGGATTACAAGCACCCACCACCACACCCAGCTAATTTTTGTATTTTTAGTAGAGACAGGGTTTCACCATATTGGCCAGGTTGATCTTGAACTCTTGACCTCGTGATCTACCCACCTTGGCCTCCCAAAGTCCTGGGATTACAGGCATGAGCCACTGCACCTGGCCAATAAAACTAGTTTAAATCAGGTAGGAAAGCACCACTAGTTATCCAAAATAATGAAAAGTGTGGCTTATAATAAGTTATAAATTCTATAAATAATTCTTTTCTGTGTAATCTTTGTAAGAGATGATGTTTCAGATTTGACCATTGCATATTAACTATTTTATAGAAGACAATAAAAAACCTTTTTAACTGCATGACACAGATAAAGGAAAGCTCTGTGTACCGAATATGTACTTGGTTGCTATCCAAAAGTAAGACTATGAAGTTCCTAAACAATTGAGAAAAATCTAATTGATACAATTATGAGTTTATTGTTTGATCTAAAAGTTTCAGTGTGGCTGGATACAATGGCTCACATGAATAATCTCCGGGCTTCAGGAGGTGGAGACAGGAGGATCACTTGAAGCCAGAAGTTTAAGACCAAACTAGGAAACATAGCAAGACTCTGTCTCTACAAAAAAAATCCTAAAAATCAGCCAGGCCTGGTGGCATATGCCTGTAGTCCTAACCACTCAGAAGGCTGAGGCAGGAGGATCCTTTGAACCCAGGAGTTTGAGGCTGCAGAGAGCTAGGAGATAGAGCAAGATCCTGTCTCTAAATAGATAAATGTTTCCCTGATGTATCCTTAATGCCTAGGACAGTGCCTTGAAGCACTCAAATACTGATTGAATAAATGAATGAATGCCTATCCTTAATCACCATATGTATGTTATTTTTTTAAAAAAAGAACCCAAACAAAACAAACTTTAAAAGCTCAGAAAATTAAAGGAGTTTCAGATTCAGCTCTTCACTATTAAATAATTTTTAAGTGAATAGGCTATACCATTAAGAAAATATTTTTGGCCAGGCGTGGTGGCTCACACCTGTAATCCCAGCACTTTGGGAGGCTAAGGCAGGTGGATCACAAAGTCAAGAGATCAAGACCACCATGGCTAACATGGTGAAACCCTGTCTCTATTAAAAATACAAAAATTAGCTGGGTGTGGTGGCACCTACCTATAGTCCCACCTACTCAGGAGGCTGAGGCAAGAGAATTGCTTGAACCCAGGAGGTGGAGGCTGCAGTGAGCCGAGATCATGCACTGCACTCCAGCCTAGTGACAGAGCAAGACTCCCTCTCAAAAAAAACAACAACAGTGGCTCAAGCCTGTAATTCCAGCACTTTGGGAGGCCGAGGCGGGTGGATCACGAGGTCAAGAGATCAAGACCAACCCTATCTCTACTAAAAATACAAAAAATTAGCTGGGCATGGTGGCGTGTGCCCATAATCCCAGCTACTCAGGAGGCTGAGGCAGGAGAATTGCCTGAACCCAGGAGGCGGAGGTTGCGGTGAGCTGAGATCGCACCATTGCACTCCAGCCTGGGTAACAAGATCGAAACTCCGTCTCAAAAAACAACAACAATAACAAAAAAAAAGAAAATCTTTTTAATGTTTTTTGGCAATGGAACACATAAAATGATAACAAACAGAAGCACACATTTATATGCTCTACACACAGTCTTGACAAAAACATAAAGCAAGAAAGAAAATCTAAGTTATACAGAATGAGTCTATGCATATTTTAATATAACTGTTTTTTATATGAAAAGAAAATGCTACATAAATCTAATTGATACAAAAATGTTTATAATTTAAAAGTTTTCTTTATCTTATTTTTAAAGATGATGACAAGAGATCCTTTGTTACTCTACATTTTTAATATCTATTCCAACCTTAAAATTTTGCTTTCATTTGAAAGACTAATACTCTAATTCTAGGCACTAAGAGACAGATGGAATCAAATTAATAAATATTAAAAACATCTTAAAAAGGCAATGAAATATTATACTCTAAATTATAAATCACATTTTGAAAAGGGCTTATTATGTACCAGGTATTATACTAAGTACATCATAATATTAAAAAATGTAGTTTTTATTTCATTTCAAGTGGTAAGTACAATACCCATATATTTGACTCTCACAAAAATCCTATGAAGTAGATGGGATAGTCTCCATTTTAAACATGAAGAAGCTGAGCAAACAGATATTAAATAACTTGCTGATAGGTCACATAGCTAATATATGACAAAGCCAAGATTCAAATTCAGGGTCTGACTCCTGACTTCACGTTCTTAACCACAGTGCTATACTTCATAAACAATTAC